AACGGTATCTTTTTTTGAAAATTGTCAAGATTCAAACGACTTCTTTAAAACTTGCCGCGCAATTTCTTTTCGTCGTTTCATCCAACTTTGAAGAATTTCTCAAATTTTCGTCGTTTAAACCTTTACATTCAAAGTCCAACAAAATGGCCAGAAAAGAAATCGTACAGCGTGTTTTAAGAAGTCGTTATAAAAAGGAAGTTTCAATCTTTGAAAAACGATAGAACGATAGGTTTTCGGTTAAGAGAAAATGTTTTCTAACGTTTGGAAACAGAATTCACAGTTTATAACGTGACCAAGTGGATCTTTTCACGAAATTGCACCATTGTAAATTTTTAATCGTCGAGTTTTCTAAAATTTTCTCTGTCGCCATTGGCACCGCTTACCATTCTCAACTTCTCGCCTAATACTTCTGAACAGGGGTGTACTTGTGCTCGAACGAAGAACTCCCTTTCTTTCTTCTCCTCTTTTTAACGTTGCGCTCGTGGTCGTAACTACCTCGCCCACGCGAGAAAGACGGGTCACACCCATTTAATTTCGCGGTTTCTCTTCTTTCATCATCTCTCCTCAAGTTGCTCGGGCATCGCCTGGCAATCACCTCGCGTCTTCCTCCGCGTTCGGCCATCTATCTCCACCTCTGCCTGTCGACCGTGTCGCCTCGCGTCGCGTTCGCTCTCATTAGTCCGCCATTTGTCTTTCGTTCTCATTCAGTCAGCCGCGCGGCTCACCAAAATCCCCGCCGAAGAATAGCCCGGTCAATTGCTCCTTCGTTTCCCGGCCGCCTCGATTGTTTCTCGATCGGGCACGTTCTAATTGCGGGAACACAATTACCGCGAGTAAATAACCAACCAGGCGGCCTGGCGGTTTCTAATTAATTCCCTGCCGGTCGTTATCGCCCGGCCAGCGAATCGTTGCCGATTTTACGCCTCGTCGTTCCCATTATGAACCACCGACGCTCCACCGACAACTTGTTTTGCCACCCTCGTGTGTCATTTTCGGCAAACAGCTGGCCGACTTTATTCCAAACGGAATACTTTTTCAATTGAGTGAACCGTGCTTCTCGCTGACGCGTATATTGTCGCTCTTGTCCAAATTGGAGGACAGACCGAAGCCAGCCAATCGAAATGAGACACAATATTTTTATGCGCGGGTGTACGCGTTCAGTTTCGTCACCAGTTTTTTAGGCAATTAAAAAAATGTTTCAGACAAAATTTTTTTAGTATTTGATGGGCTGCATGCTCCCATATTCATAAATCTCAACAAATGCTTTTCACTCGGGCACTATATGTTTCTGATATCACAGGATTGTTGCTCATATCCGGACGAATTCAACATTATACTGTGACTTTAAAATGATCTTAAACTATGGATACAGAGCTCCGCTCTGTGTATTAGATTTTTCATCGTTGCTGTAATTACGCCGTCACTGTTTACTTTCGTCACTTCGCATACTACGTTTGTATAAAATTGTCGAGTTTAAGGTCATTAATCTTCTAAGTATTAACGTCCGATATATCGACATCTATATAATATCTGAAGCCGAATGTCCGATATATCGACGGTCTCTCTCTTCTTGTTTTGAGCAGCTTGAGTCTTGATTTGATTTGATTAACTTTGAAAATACAGGACCAACAATAATTTATATGAAAACATGTAAAAAATTAAACTTCGTCTGGCGATTTAAATCCGTCCACTGGCGAAGGGAGATTCTAAATACACTGTTCTTAGAAGGTTAATGTTATTTAGAATAAAAATGCAAATTTCTTTATCGTTATCAATTGTCACGGTGTCTAGACTTAGAATCTGATTGTATCATAATTTTGCTGTTTACTGATTCGTGTATATTTTAATTATTAAATTATTTTAATTGTGTATATGGTAATTATTTCTACGAAGATGAGTAAGTACGTATATAAAAGAAACTGATCGAGGATCCAGAGAAAACGAACGAAAAATTAACTGAAGGCTACAGAAACGTACAACTCTTTACAGTTGCCTCTTTTCCCCGTGCAATTGGGTGTCGTGAATTAATCAGAAATCAATTAAAGCTCAGGTAAAAATTTGAAAAGAATTAATCAAAAACTGATTGAAGTTGAAACAAAAATTAGAAAACCGAATTTACATTCAATCAACTCGCCTGGCAATAAAGGAATTCTACTAGGAAAAACTCCTTTTATAGACGATCTTCTGTGCGTTACAATCGTGGCGAACAGTGAGGAAACGAATTCTACTGGAGAAAGGAATAGTTGACAGTTCTATCGTCGTTGGACGAGGAGTTAATGAAGTGAATTAGAATTCGAGTCGCAACGACGGATCGAATGTTCGTGAAAAATCCGCCGAGAGAGCTCGCGTAATTCATTTAATCCTCTTTGCTCGGCCGAATCAATGCTTTTCGATGTCGTTTCGACCGCGATAGGTGGGCTAATCGAACGTACACGAACGAAACTTGAGAGCGGAACACCGGACGAGAAACGTGGTCGAATCGTTGCGAGTGTAGCATCGACCGATTTCGTGCACGCGACGGAAATCTTACGGAAAAAGTGTTACGAGAGCAGAAAAGGAACGAGACGAAGGAGGAAGAGTGAGTGAGGATGAGCGATCGATCGAAACTCGCGTTCGTTGACCAAGTGACAGTTACTTCCGACTCCTTGATCCAGATCCTTTGCCGCTACGCGCCGAACTCTTGTCCTTTCGTTTCATTCGATCTCGCGAACGTTTCGCTGTTTAACGCCTCGTGTTTGTCGTTTCTGTTTGCTGGAGGAAATTGTGAAACCGCGTGGCGTACTTGTTTTCGTAAACTGGCTCGAAACTAATCGAATCACTTTGATTTTACACGACGGTGGGACACATTGGCTTTTCTATTCTCGAAACTTGAATTATTCTTCTCGGAGTATGTTGTTGATAGTAGATATATCAATATAGTAGTAAGATATTATAGATATAAAATCTTGAGAAATTGAGTGATTCCTTATGAGAAAAATTAGGGATGGTTTACTTTGAGACTTCCAAAAAATTATTAAAAATATATGTATGTTTAATTAATATAATTGTAATTAATTATTAAATATATTAATTATATAATTATTAATATATATAAAAATATATATATTTAATTAATATATACTTTTAATAAATTTTTGAAAGTTTCGTAGTTTCGAAATTTTTTCTCGAAAATTGTAAAAATTCAAACGTAGTTAAAGGCACGAAGTAATTCTTTTCGTAATTAGATTCACAATCATTTTGAAGATTAAAGTCCCCCCTTTACACCGACCCCTTGAAACTCGTGCGATCTTTTTTCATCATTTTATTGGACGTTGAATATTAGGATAGTCACGCTCTTCAGTGTATCTCACATTATTTCAATGTCACTCTTTTCCACTTATAAACCAAACCATTGAATACTATGTTTGAACACTGTTCCATATGACTGTTTAAGCTTCTTTTTCCAACAACTGCTAGTTACTCAAACGAATAAAAAGAAACAAAAAAATAAAAAAAAAAAGTTTCAAGATTTTACTTTCGTCGTCTCGGATACCAAGAGTATTTTCAAGATTCTAAGATTCCCGAGCGTGCGGGTGCGAGAGTTTTCTCCCTCTTTCGGTGCTTGTTTGAACATGCAACGTATCCAATTTGCCGTCCAAAGTCAGTCCGATCTCTCGCGAGGCGTCGGAATACGAAAGATTTTGAGAAACGAGCCAGATATCTTCAGCGACGTACCAGTCAAATATAAGGGGGTGAAATCTATCGGATTGCCGTGTCTTTGCGGCCGGAAACGCCAGCGGCGCGTGGTGTCCTCTGGCCGGCCGCCAGGGACCGGAAAGATAGATTTACGTACGATCCGAGCACACCCTGAAACGCGAGAGATCGTTATCCCATTGGCGATTGGAGGAAATACAATTTCGTCTGGGTGACAAGATCGGATTGCTTCGTTCGAGAAACAAATGTCCCTGGCCTCTCCATCTGTCGTTGCAACAACGACTGAAACTGGGTATTCATTCTGCGACGAGTTTATTATTGTATTATTGCACTTGGACGGTGGACGTGTCTCGTGAGAATGTTAGTTACAACACACGAATGAATTTTGCGAAATTAACTTGGTAGAATCACATTTACTGACAATTAGAAAATTTGTGAAAACTGTACCTAAAATGTTGAGAGTTACGCCGTATCTTAGCGAGAGTTATACCGAGTCCAATGAGAATTGGCCATTTCTGAGAATATAAATCACTTCTACTTGAAAATTAAACTGTTTCTACGTTTGTTAGAACAGCGCTGGTTCAATCTAGTCACTCACACTTAAAAGACGATCGATCGTTTCTAGACGACAAACATAACAGACTTTTCGGGTTAATCAACGTCTTGATCTACGTTTCTGAGTTCTGACTTCTTGAAAATTATAGAAATTAATAAAGTAATTTCAATATCAAACATTAAAAATAATAATCTAATTCAAAAAGAAAAAAAAAAAGGTATCGAGAATTGTAATATAAATTTTGATATCGGATCAAATCCACGTTCAAGTGGAATCTTTTTTCTAGATTGGCTTTTTTATTTATTGAGGGGAATTTATTCAAATTAAAAATAATTATTGAATTTAATGTAACAAATAATATATATATTAATTGGAAGACATTAATCAGAAACACTCAAACAAAGAATGCCCAACGGAAATATAAATACCGACTAAAGCGAGGTTCAAAGCGCAAGATCTTCTTTATAAAAAAAAAAATATAACAGTGAAAAAAAAAAAAATAAAATATAATTATGGTTGAATTATTAATTAAATTAATATTTTACATATAATTTATTAATATTGAATATTAAATTTATCAGTAAAATAAAATTAATAAAAAGTTCTTCAGTTATTAATTAAAATGAAAATTAAATAAGGGAATCAAAATTATAAATTAAAGTGCCAGCAATAGCGGTTAAATTATAAGCTAATAATTAATAGTGGCATATAAATCTCTAATCTCTAATCTCTAAATTCGCCGTGCTTTTAGAGTCAGTGACGAGGTGACGACGACGACCACGAGCACGACGGAGACACACGAAGAAGAAACGAATCAACCAATCATGGCTAAAAGCGCCGAGAGGCTTCCTGGTACATCCACCAGGCTGAGGACCAGAGATGACGGCTGCTGCTCCGTGAATTTCCTGAAATACGTTCTACACATCTACAACGTGGTTTTATTCGTAAGTGATGTAAAGCCACGCGGCTTGATGCACTATATATATTCGCGTTACATCGAGCGAAATAGCGAAATAGCGGGGGTGAGCGCGCTGATGGACGACCGTTTTACGTTTCCGCTCGCAATCGGCCATGTTCTCTCCAACGCTATATCGTTCCGCTCTAGCAAGCCGCCCCCTTTTAATTGTTATTGCCACAGTCTCGCGCACCACCCGTTGACATCGACGAAACCGAACCGTTTCAGCCAATTGTTCATTTTCGGAAAATAGCTCGAAGAGAGGAAATCGGGCGGTATCGGTTGCGATACACCGTGGACTCTGAGCGGGAATCGGTTGCACCGAGGTCGTGAACTGAGAGTCAAATGATTTGATCTGAAGCTTTTTTGCGATAGTCATTTCTGAATTAACAATTTGAATTAATATCTAGTTAGTCGAAAATTACAGTGAAGAGAGAAAGAGAGGGGGGGGGGGAGAGAGTACGAGGATGAAAAAATTGTCGATTTAACCCCTTGTACTGGCAACTGGTTTTCGCGGACCGTAACGAGTGACCGAACCGTATACAATAATTCGTCGCTTTCTTTTTCTTTTGAACTCGTCGGTGTGACATCAGTGGACAGAAATTATTGAGAAGTAATAAATTTATTATTTGTTTGGCCCGAGTTATATTGAAATATACTTAAACTGATTTAAATATATTAATATTTATATATTAACTATTATACTTAAACTGAGACTATATATTAACTATTTAAATATATTTAAGCTGATTTAAATATATTAATATATATATTAATTATTTAAATATACTTAAACTGAGGAAATATTGCAATTTTGGGACAAAAAATTCTCGACGTGGTCAACTTGCTCTCATTTTGACTTGGTGGGTTCGTGAAAAGTTTCTTTTTCTAGAAAATTCAAACGCTAAAACATTCTTTTTGAAACACTTTTGATCTATCATTATTTTGAAAAATAAAACTTGCTGTACGATTTTTTTTCCCCCTACTATTATTAAACGACAATTCAAGAAATCCTAACATCTAATTCTAATGTTAGAAATACAGTACAATCGTACAAAGCATTTTAAATCTTCTAAAGAGAAGAGAAATTCGATCTTCGAGGATGTAATCTTGAAAAGAACATTTTGATGTTTCACATGCGTTTGAATTTTTACAAACAGAAGAAACAGTTTTTGATCTTTGACACATGATGCAAAACCATTCTCATAATGAAAATAAAAGAGCTCGCAAACTGACAAAGTAGAAATTCCACGCTTTCTAAAATTGGACCAAGTGGATCGTTATATAATCATTTTTTATAAAATTACATCAATTCGAATTGTAAGCGATTTTTCACTGTCATTGGTACAGTTGTGTTCCTCGCTGTAATTCGCAAAGAAAAAGGAAATCAACTGTTGCTCGTTCTTCCTAGATCCTCAAGTTCGGTGCTCAAGTCTTTCCTTCACAAGTTTCGATGAAGGAAACAAGCCTTGGCCGCGTTTCGTCCCTCGGATGCGTGAGCGTTGTAAAACAGCCGGTGAAACATCGCGACCCGTCGTGATACATCCCATAAAATGCTAATGAAGCCCGTGAGGCGAGACCACGGACGAAAGGAGGGAAGGAAAAAAAAAAAAAGAAAGAAAGAGCAGAAGAATCTCTGAATCGATCGGTAGCCCGTTACCACGGAGCATCGCAGTTTAATGCATAAAATGTCGACGCCTCGTTGAAAAGCGGGTCCCAACGAGAACGGTCCGCGAGATTAAAAATAAGCGAGCAACTTGCTCCGATCTCGTACCCTGTTATTGCCGCCGCCTTCTCGCGAACGGTCATTTTTCATGATTCTGTCTGCGCTTCCCCCTTTCTCTCTCTCTCTCTCTCTCTTTCTCTTTCTCTCTGTTCCTGTTATTCCATCGAATTCGCCATAGCAGCCCACAAAAAAAAAAAAAGAAAAAAAGGAAAAAGAGAGAAAAGACAATGGAATTTTTCATGAATTTCACGTTGGGGGTTGTGAATCGGTTTATTGTAAAACAGTAACAGTTCGAATTTTTAAAATATGTTTTCACCAAAAAAAAAAAAAAAAAAAGAAATAAAAAAACAGACGGAAAAATTACAAAAAAAGTCTGTTTGCACTCGCGTTTGAGTTCGCGTAGTAACACAACTCAAATGGTTAAATGGAGCCACTGTCCTCGCAAAGAGAGATATTGAACTTGTTACTTTGCTCCTTTCGATCCCAGGCCTCTGCCGCCGCCGTAGTTTGAACTTCGCCCGGCGTAGTTGGCCGAAATTGGAAAATCGCCGGAATGATGATGGTTGCTTCGCTCGCGTCGGCCTGGCAGACCGTAGCCCGACGCGAGATTCGATCGAGCTGAACACGGGCTGACTTTAAACCCCGCTCGGTATGTAATAAGGCTCGATAATGCGGGTATAATGCAAGAATAATCTGGCCGGGAACAATGGCCGGCGCAACAATGCCGATCGCTTAACGCGCGCATCGTTTATTCGCGCATTGATCGCGCGTTCGCGAGTGCAGTCACCCTGCAAGCCAGACCAAGTCACTCCGACGTGATGACTGCTGGCCGCTCGTCGCACGGCTGTTTTCCATCGGTCGAGCACGTAGCCGTCCGGGATTCCTTGGCGACGATCGTCCACGTTGGCAGAAATTTGCCTACCCCTCTCCTCCCTGACCTCTACGGCGCATAGTTTCTCGTTGTTCTCGGCGTGTTTGCGCGTGTTACGAATGGAGAACGAGAGGAGGTCGTGCGCGCAGAGGGCGAGCGTTAAACGTTGATTTCCCCCGATCGGTTTTCGCCAGATCGCCAGGACGTGGATTCCCCGTTAAAGGGTAGTTGCGAACTATTCGCGGTCGAAGTTGAATGAAACTCGCCGGAGGGAGGCTACGGAGGCTGCTTGTTCCGGCCCCGGATGGCTTTGTAGCTTGTTGGATCGACGTCGGAGCGTGGAATAACTGGCTAAACTAGCGAGAAGGAGGGACCGAAGCCGCGGATAATCGGTAGACTGGCGGAGCGAAGCTGGTTATTACGCGATTTATTAACAAGGTCTAATTAAAGGGTAGCGACGTCGATCCGCTTATTTTCTGGCGAACGAATCGACGTCCGGGCAGGGGAGGGGGAAATTCCCTGCCGCCTTGCTATTTCTTTAATTGAAACATCGTTGAGAAAAGATCGATCTTCGTTCTTTTCGAAGAACGAGATTCTAAGTACGAGATTATGGTGGAGCGGCGGTGCGATATGCTTATAGTGACGCGGAGAAAAGCGAGGAGCGAAATGCTACAGCGAGAGCCTGTCTTCGAGGAAGCAGCAAAAACTCGTGCTTGTAGAAAATAATGCAAATTAAACATCACATGTTAATGTCACATCTCGCAAAAAACACGGGATCAAAAGGTAGAAAAAGATAACAATAAATAATAGAAATAATAAAAGAAATAAAATAAATAATAAAAAAAACACAGAAACAATAGATATATAAATACTTCGAGCATTCAATTGAATGCTATTGAATGCGATAGAATGCTACCGAATGTTGCCGGACGCGTTGGTTCAGAAACAAACTTTTTTGATTCCAGCTGCACCGCTACTACAGTACTTACATTACTTAACAACATACGTACACAAGTACAACTAAGTACAACAAAGTTACAAGTACTTGTAGTACTTACATAAGTAATTACATTGGTTTGTTTTGTCGCGCCGCTATCTTCGTTCCTCGCCGCTCCACTATATAACCGTACCTTAAGTCTCGGACTCTTCTCTCTGAGAAACTTGAAAAAAAAAAAAAAAAAACGTCAAGTGTTGAGTGGAAGGTAGCGATCGTTGAATCTCCCTCCTTCAAAAGAAAAAAAAAAAAAGAAAAAAGTATCTCTTCAACGATCAAAGGGCATTCGAGACTCGGGACTCGGAGATTTCGCGTCTCTGTCCCGAGATCGACAGTCGTCACCTTGCACCGTGAAACTTGCGATCGATCGGCCGGATGTGTCCCTATGTGCGGAACGTAGCAGATGGCGGCGAGATTGCTGCAATTTGGACGACTCGCATACCTTCGAAACTTGGCAAACGATGGAGGAGACATTGCAGGAAGGCTCAATTATAACTAGGCTAGCGAAGATAGTCGGATACGGCCGAGGATGAGTTACTAATTAACCGATTAATAACGAGCAATGAATGGCCGGCCCATTCAAGCTTGGCCATATCGAGGACGTTAGGGGGATTTACATTGTCGGTTGTGTCGCGTGTTACACCTGTTACAATGTGTCTCCTGCGTAATAACGCGCCACCACGGGTCGCATTCCGACGATGGGGCAGAGTGAAATGAAAGGGACCCCATTGTTTCCGACGTGATGCGTGTCCAAGCGCGCGTACACCGCGGAAAACTGCGGTAAAATGTTTATTCGTCGTTGCGCGGTGAAGTTCTCAACGCTGTCCATTACCGCGCAGTGTCATTTCTTTTTTTTTTTTTTTTTTTTTTTGGGGGGGAGGAAATTTTTTTTTTTTTTTTTTTTTTTTTGATCAGAAAGCTTTGGATTACATTGAAAAAAATGGAGACGTGTTTATTATCTCGCAATAATAGCTGAAAATTGAATACGAATCGAGTTTAAAATATATTTATGCTGCCCACGGGTTTATTTCGCTATCTATTAAATGCTTTTCGTCGGCATGGATCCGTTTTGAAGCATCCAATTATGAGGAAGTTGAAGTCCATTTATTCTATGAGATCAATAACTTTTAATAGCTTTGCGCGAGCTTCATGAAAAATAGCGCACAAGGGGCCATGATTTTGATAGAAATAATCTGAAATAAATGGTAATAAAATGTACCATCATTTTAACAGTAAATTACTATTCCAAGATCGTAGCCAAATCTCTACAATTTGTCTTCTCCCAATAAGACAAATACATCCTCCGTCACTTTCGTCAAACTGTCTTCCACTAACGGCTAATAAAAGTGATCACTTCAAAAACAACGGATAAGCCGCGACAAGCAAAAAGCTGACGCGACACTTACGCGAGAAGATTAACATAGCAAGATAGTAAAACAGACCGAGAAAGAGAAAGAGGCAATGTTAAGCAGAAAATTTGTAGCTGCTCCGTCAGCAGCCTTTTACATTCCGGTTTGACGGTTCTTTAAAATGATCACGGTTGCCCAGCGATTATGAGCACCGAGGCGGTGAAAATAAATCGCGGAACTCTAAGCTGAGAGCGTCACGTATTCACGGGGATAGATACCGATAGATCCTCGATTTATTGTCCGCGTTCGAACTGGTGTCCGCTTTAAAGGCAGAAAACACGGTTTTCACTCGTAAAGCGGGTGAAAGCGGCGCGGGCAACGCGCGGGGGATGAAAATAGGTGAGGGGAAGAGGTGAGCGGGTGTGCATGTGCATTATTGGAACGCGACGAGAGATTAAAAACGACTTTTTCCAAAGGATCGGTTCCATTGACTGGGGTGCATTGCGGCGAGTCCTGAATAATGCATGAAATTTGTTCCCCGGAATCGAATCGCTTCTCGTCACTGCCGGCACCGGAACAAGAGAGCGGGCATAAATCTAAATAATTTCAACCCTCGAATTTTTATTATTCCTATGACTACGTCTGCGCCTCCACGCTGAATATGCATGTCTTGCTTTCCGCACTACGCCCTCGAGTGTTCCACCTTTTGTGTAACCAGCCCTTCGCCGCAACCGTATGATACATCTTGCGACTAGCCCGGCCGCCGATGCTTCTTAGATCGTCGACACACTCGTTAATTCTCCGTCTAAAAACACGGAATTAATTGAATAATCGTTTGGAAGTCGATATTCGTTTCGGTCGTTCGAATAAATCTCGACAGAGCAAAAGGAAATTGAAAATATCGTCGCGAATTAAAAATATTTCAAACTATTCGATCGATATTACGAATCAAAAATTTCGTCGCTCTACATATTGTAGTCGATATTATAGTCGAACAGAAAATTTAATATCAAAAATTATAAGAGATCAGTCATTACTCACTCGGGGAATTCCGATAAATCACAGAAAGTATTAACGAGCAGCGAGGATGACACCGGATCTTCCCTCATCCCTTACTTTCTTCCGCCTGTGAAATATAGCCGACAACTTTTCTCATACTTGAGAGTTTTCCTTAGAAGCATACTGTACTACACGGTGGAAAGGGGTAGAGGAAAGGGGAAGTTATAAAGTGGTTGAAGACGAGCGCTATAACACAACATCACAGAGATAAAATTTTGTAGCGTTTATGCTACAAGAATTATATTTTAACAATAATTATATTTTAACAATAACTATTTCTTCATAAAAAAAAATATCACAAATGGAAATTGATATAATTAAAGAAAAAACCTTGTCTTATCTTATTCATATGAATATTAATATTTATAAATATTATATATTTGGTTGTAAAATAATCAAATTTTCCATATTTTCCAATTTTATATAAACATTACTAGAAATAAATAATTATAATTTAATAAAAATTATTCTTGGCGATACTATTAAATTTTAATATTTATAACGATACTTACAAATGATTTTCAGGTGAAATAATAAATACAACACATAGAATTCATAATATTTTATTTATGTGTAATACTGCGCAATGTTTTTGAAACTTTTCCTCGAGGCACACATCATCAACAACTTCATTTAAAAGTATTATACAGCATTCCTAGATTAATTTACATACCTAATTTTTACAGATTCTATTAGAATCTTTTTTTTACGATAAAGAAGTATGACAATCATACATATACGTGTATTCAGTCAATATTTTAAACTACGCGTGTCCACATCGCGATAAAATTGTATTAAATGCTATTACACATTAACAAATCCACGAACTTGAGTAACATCAAGTTTCACAATGAACTAGTTCAAGTATTCAACAAAAATTACCTAAATGAATGTAAATGAGAAAGATATCCTGTTTGCTTACACTGAAAATCTTTGCAATTCATTCAACTAAACGACACATAATGAAGGAGCATATTGAAAAAGATTTCGAAAATAATAATTACAGAAACGTTTAAAAATAACGTTTTACCTCACATGTATTGTTTCTACGAGTATTTGGCAGCTTATACCCAATAAATTTTATATCATCTATTTCGCTAATGCTGAAACTTTCTTGCAAATTTCATTAGTGTATTCACTGCACTTTGCAGATCCACCAAGATCTCCTGTTAAATGTTTACCTTCTTTAATAGTTTCATAAGCAGAATTTTCAATAATTCTTGCTTGTTCATTTAATCCCATATATTTAAGCATCATTACAGCAGAGAGTAATAATGCTGTTGGATTTGCTTTATCTTGACCTGCTATATCTGGAGCAGTTCCATGCACCTATTTTGAAATAAAATTATTACTAAATCGCTATTGCATTTGAGAAGAAACATAAAATTTTGCATACATACAGATTCAAACAATGCACCATTTAAGCCAATATTTCCACTTGGTGTAAGACCAAGTCCTCCTACAAGTCCAGCACACATATCAGATAAAATATCGCCATATAAATTAGGCATTACAAGTACGTCATATTGACTGGGATCTTGAACCATGTTTAGACACACAGTGTCCAAATATCTTTCTTCAAATTTAATGGAAGGAAACTTTTGCGCAGCTTCCCTACAACATCTTAAGAACAAACCGTCTGACATTCTCATTATATTTGCTTTGTGTACAGCAGTCACCTATTAAACAAATTAATAATCATTTAAAATATTTCTTACTTTTATGCTTGAATAAATACGAACCTTTTTCCTATTATTATCTTGAGCATATTGAAAAGCAAATTCGGCTACTCGACTTGAAGCTTCCTCTGTAATTAATTTAATTGACTGTACAACTCCTTCTACAATTTCATGTTCTATACCAGAGTATTCTCCTTCTGTATTTTCTCTGATAGTGACAACATCGACATTATCATACAATGTCTTATAACCTTCTAAGGAACGACACGGTCGGACATTAGCATATAAATTAAATTCCCTGAAAAAAAAGGCTCATTTACAAAAAATACATCAGTTTCTGAACACTTTTAAATCCTTGTATAAAGCTCTTTATACAAATACAAATAATTACATGTTTACATTGATATTCATGATTATGTAACTCAAACAGCTCTAACAGATAAATATATTAAGACTGAGACAATATGCATAGATGTTTGAAATAGATGCATTTAGCTATTCTTAATTACACAAAGATTAAAGTAGACTTACTTTCTTAATGCAAGGTTTAAAGATCTATGTCCTTTTCCTATGGGTGTCATCAATGGTCCTTTCAAACCAATCTTATTTCTGTTAACTGAATCAATAGCAGCTTGTGGAATGCCAAATTTTCCATCTGGGCCTTTTACTGGTGTCACATCAACAGATTCCCATTCTATCGGCACCTGATATTTAAGATAATATTACAAACATAATTGCATATCAAGAAATAAGAAATGTCTAGTTAAAATCTGGTTAAAATCTAACATTCAATACACTCATTTTTGTTTATATATATATATACTAAAGAACAAAATGTATGTGTCATATATACATATATCGACATATATATAATACTAAAAGTTGAGTAACAGTGTTATGCAATACATGATATGTGAATGATACTATTAAAGTTTCTTTATTCATGCTGAAAAATAATACATTGTTGGTTTTTAATACTAAAACTATTTTATGTACATTCACTAAACATACAGATGAAAACAAAATCAATAACCTCATGCATTTACTTGAAGTCTATAAGGCTTATATTCTGTGTTTATAAAAAAAAAATATACAAGTAAAAAAAAAACATACCTTAGCTACAATAAGAGCAGACTGAATTAGCCTACAATTGGATCAACCTGTATAAGAGTAAGATTAAAATAAACTCCTTAAGGTTAGTACTAGGACACATTGGGTCACCTTGTAAGGTTCAAATCATAAAAAATTGAAACAAAAAGTGATATCTACAATGCAAAAATCTAACACAAATGTCAAAGTGAACGTATGTTATCGATACATTTCCACTTGACTGATAAAACATGCATATTAATGAAAAAAGAAAAAGTAAAATATCGTGCATAATGAAAGTTATTAACTTATCAAACGATTTGTGAAACTACTTTACCTTGGCAGCGTCAAAAATTTTCTGCACGGCAGAAGAAATTTCGGGCCCGATACCATCTCCGGGTATAAGTGTGCATTTGTGAACTTTACTGCTGTAAAAACGCACGCAGCCAATTTTCGGGACCTGTTAAATCAAATATCGACAAAATTAATAACTATTAATAAAAACACGTAGAGATTCTTATATTTGAATCAACGTGGAAAGGTGATGTTGAGAAATTGAATAAAATATGAAAACTGGAAAGGAAAATTGTAAACGATACAAGGATAAGAGATAGTTTAAGATAGATCTCAGAGGATAGATATATAACCGATCTATGAAGAATTCTAACCTTGCTGTCTGGGAGGGAGCGTAACTACGGGCAGGACATTGATTGTTTCAAAGATTTCTTGATTGACACGTGCTACTTACTGCATTTCGTATCCACTGCGCTGCCATTCTCTTTGTAAATTTTACAATAAAAACACGAACCTCCACCACCCAAAGTAGTTGCGCACGTCAGAAGTAATACCAAAAACCCAGAGACGAATCACACTTGTGATTGGTTCCCGCGAAACGACGTCTTCTGCTATTCGGAAACGGAATACAGCGGACGACAGTGCAGAACACGACGAGTGGCTCCACATATACCAACATTTTATTATTACGTGATAGTGGCTAAGAGCAAATTTATTCTCAACCTGTAACGTCAGTCGATTTCAATTTGCTGCTTCGAGCAACGGAACAACACGTGAAAAATGTCGAATAACTCAAACGTTTCTCTAACATTTGAAGAGGACCTATTTCATTTAAATATCGAATCTTGTTACAAGAATTCTGATTGGCTGCGAAATCGAGTGTTAATTTTTTCCGAATGCGATGGTTCGAGTTTGAAAATTTCCAATCAGTTATGTTACAATTTTCAACAACCGCAGTGTACAACATTTTCCAAATATAAGAAATATAACTGCAATGTGGGGCGACTATGACGCAATAATTATAGGGTTGTTATAGCGAAATGATTTTGACACCTTTGTTCGTGTCCGTTTGTACCGTTTTAAATAGGAACTTATTTTGAGTACGGTTGTTTCCGGAATGGTTTAGCATTTCCTCGGACGGCCATTTTATAAGACGCTTCGTGATCGCGTATGTTTGCATGTTCGGTATCTTTTACTCTTTTTAACAAGTAAACTATTTACTCCTTAAATAATTTAGTTTATTGAGTAGAAAACGTATTGGGGATGATCAAGCAAGAGGAGTAAGTATAAAATCGATATTTGTAATAATTTATCACATATCCTTTGTCGGCGTGCAGAATCGTGTACAATTAACGTAAACCGACGCTAATAAGTTTTCAACATATCAGCAGTGCGAGTTTTCTGAGCAAGTTCTCGTTCAATAGCTCGATTTCAATTGAAATTCGTGTAAACTATAAATTGCGAAACGTATGGTAAAATCTGTCGGTACGATAACAAGCTATAATAAAACGTGATTCCCCGTACGCACGTTATTTCTACGTAATCGTGTTGAATATTTAGGAGTCAAGTGCAGAATAATGACGAAAGGGACCGAAGTAGAGAGCGCGACCGTAACAGGAGGGCCGAGCGACAAAATCGTATAAATTCTACGAGTCGTGATCGTAGCAGAGAACGGAACGATCGTGGTCGAAAAGCTTCGGATCGACGAATCTACGTATCAAACATTCCCTATGATTTTCGCTGGCAAGACCTGAAGGATTTGTTCAGAACAGAGGTTGGGAAAGTCGCTCACGTTGAACTTTTCACTGATGAAAATGACAAGCCAAGAGGCTGTGGTATTGTTGAATTTGAGGATTCCGATTCGGTAAAAATTGCTGTAGAAAAAATGCATCGGTATGATATTAAAGGGAGAAAGCTGGTCGTCAAAGAGGTAGTTAGTATATTGTTATTTTTTCATCTTCCTTACAACTGCGATGCAATGCCGTGCAATTAACATTAAGGACATTTCATAACATTTATTTATTCTAGGATTTCGATGTCGAGCGAGATAAATACGGTCGGTTGGCAACAGCCCGTAATAATGAAAGAGTTCGTGATGATAGATTTAGAGATCCGCCAAGGCCGCAGGGTGGTGGACGTCAAAATATGAATGCTCCTACTGGTGGAGGTGGTGGTGGTGGCGGCGGTGGCGGCGGCGGTGGTGGTGGAGGTGGTGGCGGAGATAGCAAATTTGGAAATACTTACGGTTTAAGTACTCAGTTTTTAGAATCTTTAGGTATTAATGGACCTTTAGTTACTAGAGTATTTGTAGCCAATGTAAGTATATCTTTTAATACTGAATTAATTAAACTAAGTAAGTAAAAGTCAAGTAAATACTTCATTTGATGTATTTAGCTTGACTATAAAGTGGATGAGAAGAAATTACTAGAAGTATTTAAATTAGCTGGTAAAGTCCTACATGTTGAGTTAGGAAAGGATAAAGATGGAAAATCACGAGGATTTGGAGTGGTAGAATATGATCATCCAGTAGAGTCTGTACAAGCTATATCTATGCTTCACAATCAGCAACTTTATGACAGACGCATGACTGTGAGACTTGACAGAGCAAATGAACCAGACATGCCACCAAAATTACCAGAAGGTAATCTTTTATTTTTTTCACTTTTATTTTCTAGAAGATATACTATTTTATTATAAAACTATATAAAAATAAAAATTAATTTTTCCAAAATAGGTTTAAAGGGAATTGGAATGGGTCTTGGAGCTGGTGGTAATAGATTAATGGATGTAGCTAGAAACATTCCTAATGTACAAGCAAATAATCCACCTGTCGTGAATCCCATTTCTGCTCCCGTATTGGCTGCCGGTGCTTTTGGTGCTGGCTTAAACAACGTTGTACCAGCACAGCTAGGTAAATATTTACTAAGGATGTATATAAAATGAAGTAAGTAGAAGAAATTGACAATGATATTTGTATATCTATAGCATCTGCATTGTCAAATACAAATGCTGCAGCTCTTCAAGCAAGTCTTGCTGGAGGTTTGAGCGCTAACCTGACTACGAGTTCTTTGCTGAATTCGTCGCTAACAAATGAGTTGGCTACTAATTTAAATAATTTCGGCGGAGGAGTTGGAGGTTTGTCTAATTTACAAGCCTCTTTAGCTGGTGGACAAAGCAACAATTCATTTGCGCCGCGAGGCTTATCTAAAATGGACAATGATGTAGGCTTTGGTGGAAACAATGCTTTTGGTGGTTCTAACTTCGGGGGTGGCAGAGATTTTGACGGTGGATTCAACAGAGGGGACAACGATCGTGTTCCTGGTGGAGGCGGTGGTTTCGCTGGAAATCAGGGCCAAGGAGGAGGTGGAAACAGACAAAATACCAATGGTTCACGACCGATGTCAGATACTATTCTTATAGGAAACGTATGTATTCTTTTTTTTTTTTTAACTTGTATGTGAAAGTTAATACACATCTGCTAATTTTAAACATAAAAATAATTGTTATAGCTTCCACCAAACACAACATGGCAAATGTTGAGAGACAAATTCCAAGACGTTGGGGAGGTGAAATTTGCTGAAATGCGGGGCACTGACATGGGTATGGTACGATTTGCATCTGAATGGGATGCTGAACGTGCTGTGTGTATCCTCTTAAATATGTGCTAATACAGTACAAATCGTTTTTGTCTCTTCAATGTGCAAATGTATATTTTAAAGAACGTTTAATATTTAGGAGATTTTCCTTAACGATTTTTATATATAGCTATGATGAATCGGTCACGTATCGACGGCAGAACGATCGATGTTCGCCTTTACTAAAAGCTGGAAAATACATTCAAGGTAACATTAATAGAGAACCTTTGCAGAATTTGACGCTTAACAATAACTTATTGATGCAGCGAGAGGAGACTGGGTGTTCGTATGTCGTCTGCAGGATTATTCCACTCCTGATGACAATACTTGAAATTCATCCTAGTAGTGTGGCAGAACTTAGGACAGTGGGTGAGAAGTATCTGTCGTTGGAAGATCAACAGTTGTTTTATGCCTACTTCAACGTTGAAACACTCATTGGCTGCCGATGATCACCCTTCCTTCCTACGACTGTTTCATTCGAAATTCTTTTACGAGATTATCGTTCCTTTTTACAGTGGTAGTCTACTAATTGTTCACTCCTAAATGGATCTTTTCGAGTGATCGATATATAGTTTAGTTGTTAGATTTAGGTTCATAATGTTCTACATAATCTGTAGGTTTTTCAGTATGTAGGTTTATGCTATTTACAGTAATTATCAAATGTAGATTGTAAGTTTATTTCTTAGTTTTCATGAGAGATCAATCAATTTTTCCCACATTCCGGTTGAACATGACGCTTTGGTCGTTCGCGGAGTGATTTATCGATCAGGGACAGATTAATCTTTCAAGCATAAATACTAACGCGACATAGCTGTTACGGATTTTATGACTTAAACTTTATCCATGTATGATAGATACTTTCATGCACAATCCTACACAGTTCGTGGACGTGTGTTGATTTTTCTGTGGTATCGGTCGCACTCTATTCTTGTATCTAACACATAGTAAGATACATCATGGCTCAACAGGGGACTGTATTGTTTTCATTGTAGTTCTGCGATCTGATCTTTTATTCGTCGCGTCACATCATTCTAGTAACTTGGAGATTCAAGTGTAGTAGATACAAAATTTTAGTTGTTATTAGGAAGAAGGTCCCTTCCAATTCAATCGTTTCGAGACTTCAGCGAATGAATATTGGATGATTTTATACCCTAAATTTGGCAGAATTTGTCTTACATATTGTGCATCAATAATATGTTTACCAAAAAATACTAAATATTTATCTAAAGAACGAACAATTTTTAATATATTTCGGTTTTCGAACCGAGACTTTCCACAGCTAATTTTATAAGTATATATTCTTTGGTAAACATATTTCCTCTCGCTATGTAGATCTCGAGGAACATTCTGCGCATTGTATAACACTCTTGTATAACCACGACATCATGACAGTGATTGAATAAAATCCAAATCCGTTTTGACTACAAAAAAATACGCTGGTCGTTGTGTTTTATTTCTGTGTTGTTGTGATTCTTTATATTTTAAGCAGGTTTAAGCTGTGGATATGCATTAGCATAGAGGATATCGTTTCTGCTACTTTTACATGTGCAATACATTTACCAAGAATGAATATTTTCAAAATGTATTGCACTTAAGCAGAATTTCTGCTTAAACACAATTTATAATTGTAGATACTCCCTGCTTGCTTTTAAAATTTGTAAACTTCACTATCTGTGAGGTATGAATATTTGTTTACATCGCAGGTGAGATATTTTTCAGGTGATTGTGGTTTTTCTATTCCTCTATGATGAATACATGTTTCAAGAACGAATAATTTGCTTGAAATTTATCAAATACTTGTTCCTTCGTCAATGGGATGTATCGGGATGTATCGTTAATGTAATACTCGAATTATCAAGTTATATGTGGTAGTCTTCTTTCTGAAAATTATTAATAATTTTTAATATTGTTTGAAATAGATGGATTAACAGGTTTTGGGAAAGTGAAAACTGTAGACGGTAACATAGTACTTCGTCTCTAACATTGTGGTTGATTCTTATTTTATTGTAGCATTTAGAAAATGTATCTTCCATATATTTATCGAGAATTAGTTAAAATGACTGTAAAATTCTATATTCCAAGTGGATTTGCGTAAAGTAAGAAACGAAATTACTTTTACGTGTGACTGTAACTTCTATGGTAAGTGGTAGTAAACATTTTACGCTCTGGTCTTTGCCGCAATCGTCAATGAAATATTTAATGCGTTCAAATCATTATGCGTATGGAATTTTTTAATAACCATCGTCGATCTCCGCTGTGTGGTTGCCAAATTTGTTTCTTAACGTTTGAAGGATGTGGTCTTTTTTTTCTTACAATGTTATTGATGTTAGATAGATAGGGTCTTATTTTATAACGCATGAGATCGTGTGCAATGGTTTGTTGTATTATTTCCATCGTAAGTGATTAATCGGTTGTATTTTATTATTCCACGAGATATTTTGGAGGAAGGATGTATTTCAATATGGGAGAATAGGGATAAAGACATCTCCTCTTTGATATCGTTTAAATGTTCATTGTCGAAATTGTTTGAATAAGTATCTGAAAATAAAACGTTTTAATATAGAGGATTAGATTAAATAATTTTGAGTACATTAATCATTTTTATATTGCGGCTAACGTCTGGCAGGAAAACTAGGTAAGTTCCAGAATTTATGCAACAGATTTTTATGAACATGTTGTTCTTCCAGGAAAGCTATCGCGTCCGACCAAAAGGTAATTAAGCGGTAAGTTTTGTAGGATGGAAATTTATTGATATTTTATTATAAATAGAAATAAATGAACATCTCGATATATTATTAATCACACCTGTATTTCCACAGTCTTCACATTATAAAACAGTTAAATTGGGTGACTTTGAATGTAAGATACTTTTTTTGTAGAGAATCATAGTGTCTGTGTAAAAATAAGAAGTGTGTGAATTACTGAAACAGAAATGTGTTCGGAAAAGTACAAAAATCTTTAAGTTACATCAAGATCTCAATGAAATTATGAACTCTATATGCATTAATGTGAGGAAATTGTTATAGTCGTGTTGTTTAGTGTCACGTGCATTTGTTTATTTTCAAAAAAAGCACCTTACTAGAACACCTCAAATATATAATTCTGTATAATACTTATAATGTATATGTATGTTTATCACATTTTAAATAAAGATAAGCTTAAAGATTATAGATTAACATAATGTATATATATATATATGTGTGTGTATATATCATAACTTCAAATCTTTTAATTAGCAAATGTTTTAAGTAATCTACTAGAAAGACATTCGAGCAATGTCTACAAAACATGCTTGTATGCAAAATAAAAATTTTATGATATCGTAGAATTTTTAACTTATAATTTTTAATGTTTCTTATTTTTTAATATATAAAAGCATATAATTTATTTTTAAGTTATTCCATGCTATATCAAAAAGTATATTACAGAATCTTATTTTTATTTTATTTCTTTATACAGCAGCAATGAGAATGAAAATAATTTCTACGATTACACAATTTTTCAATTTAATGAATAGTCAGTTGTAACTAAATATTATCAACGCGATGTGTCTGTTATGGCTTGTAATGGGGTTTATGTATAAGGGAAAGGCTGTCAGCCAAGTATACGATAATAAAATCACATTAATTCATGTTTGTAAGCCATCGTAATCGATACCACTTAGCAACCTTTGATGTATCAAATATTTTATATCGATCAACACTAATATCAAAAATCTTTCTTTTACTGAACGAAATAAAGAACGTCTTTGGGATTAATTTGAAATTCATAATTATTTAAATTGTTTTTTTAAATTCTTTACTAGCGTTGAACAATACTTGAGTCGTGAAAATAGTGTAGGGTATATTGATTCGGTGATTTTGAATCGTCTAAAGTCCAAGTCTAACGAGAAATTACTGACAGCATCATTTCATCGCATTATACGTATAATTAGTAGCAATTCTCTTTAGATTTCGTACTTTCTCATTCGAAAGAATGTTCTAACATTAATTTTGCACTTTCGAAAAAGATAGATATAAAACTTTATCGTCAATTTTCCTTATCGGTTAAATAACAAATAAACATCTCTTGTGGCATCCTAAACGATAGCCTATCCTCATCACTGTTTAACTCACTAATACCACTAATGCATTTGAACAAAGGCTTGAAGATGTTTTGGAACAAATCTAATATTATATGTTTTTCTCACTACTCTGGCTGCTAGACAGGCGAGTGTAGTGTATCTTACAGGATACACCGAATTATACAAGCGTTTATTCCATATTAACGTTTCGTACGTGTTGTTACTCCATATCAATGTTTCGAACGTGCTGCCCATTTTATTAACTGCGTCGATATGTGCTCCAGCATCAAGAAGAATAGTAACAAGATCGGGTGATGGATAGAACATGGCAGCAAGGTGTAACACCGTACTTCCAGTTGCATCTCTTGCTGTGACATCAGCACCGACTCTTATTAGAGCCTTTATTAAATGCGGTGAAGGGAACCTGTACGTCGAAGACTTTGGACCAGCTCCAAGTACGGTACCTCTTTCGCTGAAAACTAAATGCAACACGTTCCGACCCTGCAAAAAATAATATATATATATATAAAAAGGATTTATCATTTACATAGTCAAACTTGTCATGTGTAGTCAAATGATTATTTCGTGACTTACGTTATTGTCTTTGGCATTTATTCGAACTAACTCGTAAAGTGCCTGATGCAGTGTTTGATATTCCGCAGTGCCTTCTTCTGGCATTTCGTGAGTCAATAAACTTGCTAGGTGTAAAGTGGTGACGAGAACTCTGTTCAAATAGGCAATATCACGTCCGCGTACTGATCCTTTGTCCAACATTTGTTTTCCTAGTTTCACTTCCAGAACCTGAAATAATACGTACTGTAGTACGTTACTATCTACAAACGAGATTTTCCACAAAACACATTGTCCTCGAAACGTACAGCTTTTTTGAACACTCGAAGAAGTTCTTCTCTCTGAACCGGTGGTACTCTTCGCCCTGTATTTATTTGTCTACTTATCATAAAGCTAAAGAGCTCGGTAAAACTAAAGAGCGAGCTCTGAGTCATTGGATCGAGTGGTTCCAGCATACTTTGCTGCATATCTAAGGCATAGTTCCAAAGTTCTATACAACGGCTGAACATTCCACCATCCGCGTATACCGCTCCCCTGTATCGAATGTAATAACTAGTATCGGGATGAGCCGGTCCTAATATTCGTTCTCTAATTACAAGTGCTTGCATTCGCATTTCATCCGGGTCGTTTAGTAATCCATCTAGCGCGTCGGGATCGGTAATTTCCCGTGCAAAGTCGTAGGCAGCTACAACCGGCGACGGTGGTGGTTTCAGTATCACTGGGTCACCTCGATATCTGAAATACGACATTTAACAAATGTTTCATATAATAATTTCCGAGACTATCATAAAAACGTTATATATATGTTTATACAAAAACCTTTCGTCCATTGCCTGTTTCCAACATTCAAGCGCTCCCATCATGTCCCTCTTTTTATCTACGTACGTGGCGCCCAGTAATTCCAGTGCGTCTATGCGTTCCTTCCGATTCACTAAATTCGGCATATTGATAAAGTACTCGACGATGTGCTTGTGGCCTGTAAAATCAAGAAGACTTTATGATAATTCACTTCCTACTAGAGTGTTTCCTTGTTCATGTAATGAAACACTCAGTTAAACAGTAATTGTAATCGTCTTAAGGGAACCTTCGGGGTTGCGCGTGGAACATTCTGCTTTAACCTGTTACTGCTGCCGTAAGGAGTGGTGACATCCCGTAGGAGTCCACGTCCATTCGGGCACCATGCTCGATGAGTACCTTGACGACTTCTAGGGATCCACTCTCAGCGCAATCGTGAAGTGCTGTGTTACCCTTTATGGATTTTCGGTTAACGTTCGCTTTCAAGGCAAGTAGGAATTTGACGATTTTAATGTGACCTTTGTAACAGGCGATCATCAGACTCGTGTGACCATGACGATTTGCCATCTCAATGTCTGCAATCAATCAATGGCGTTTATCGTTTCGATTGCTTCCTCGTACGATACGATAAAAAGAAGAGGGGGGGGGGGGGAGAAGCAACTGATGATTTCTAATCTTTCGTAACGTAGAGAGTAAAATAAAAATTTGATATGAGATTTTATTTTATAGTTATTTTATATTTAATGGTACTTGGCACTGATAGAAACATCCTGATTTCTCTCAAGAAGTAGTCCGAGTGATACATACCCGCGCCGTGAGTCACCAGAAATCTAACAATATCGAAGTGGCCGTCGAAACATGCTGCTCGTAGAGGCGTGGAATGTGTTTTAGTGGTGGAATTCACCCGGGCGCCGTTTTTCACCAACAATTTAACCAAAGCCAAATGTCCGGCAGCTGCGGCGCACCATAGAGGTGGCGCTCGTTCGATCATTTCGCCATCGAACATCACTATTTAATTGCATAAAAGATGTTAAGAATCAATTTTAATTGTACGATGACGAGTAAATTACACGAAATTAGAAACCGTCTCTTTATTCGAAAACATATTGATTTGGAAATTATGGACAAAATTGGATGTTTATGCGATGAAATATTCTTGCGCGATACTTCTTACTAATGTAACAACACCAGATAAATTGGAAGAAAGTTCCAATTTTCTTCTTTGTACGTTATGCTCGAAACAAATGAAAGAAAAGTAATCTTCATCTTGGACTGCGATAAAAACTGCCTTGATGATTCTATCATTTAATTATTAAATGGAGTCGTTCGTGACAGTTATGCTGAATACCGAATGCCGAACGAAGTTGAAATATTGTGCACAGAATTACATTTTAATAAGTGTGCCGATTTCGCCACACAATTGATGAGCCTAACGGTTGTAAATTGGAAAACACTGACGTACGTGATAAATCGCACGAAGAATTTTATAGCGTAATCAGAATTTTACCTAAACCAGGTTGATTGACGTTCGCCCCACATTTTTCAATGAGATATTCAGCTACGTCATAATGTCCATTTCGGCAGGCAATAACTAATGGCGTTGTGCCATGGCTTGTTGTGCTGACTAATTTCACTACCTCATCCTTTTCTCGATGTTCCAGCAATTCCTGTAACAAATAAATCGCGTGTTCTTGATATTTTTAAAAATATCTACCGTCGTCGTGTGGAGAGTTGGAGAGAAATCGACAGAACCACGTTTTTCACTTTGCTTTTGTTCCCGAGACGCAAAATCGCCGAAATTAACAACGCTGGGGTAGTTCATTAAAAGGAAAAGAAAGAAGAAAAACAAAAAGATTGCACGATTTAACTTATCTACGCTACCAATCGAGCATCTAGTGAAATTTCAATGGGAACAGCTTCGATAACTTAGGAACAAATTTGAATATTACCAGCTTGGAAGTTCCAAGTGCAAAGTTCAGCATTCTCTACACTGACGTTGGAATAGAAAATTAACAGAAATAATAACTAGCCTGACTACCGTTTTGTTATCGCGGGATAACAGAACAAATTTCCATGAGCTAACTTACGTTTGACAGTAAGGACCCCGTGTTGAATCGTTTAAAATAAAGTTCGTTCCTAGACGAACGAACCACACGCTTTTATTTTTGTTAAAACCGGCGACACTCGTGCCACTTGCGACAACGTGCTAACTAGACGTGAATTTCGAGCCGACGACTGAGCGTGGATGGGTTATCGCGAACCACGCTTGCCACCAGCGGGTTCCCCTTTTTTTTTTTTTTTTTTTTTCCCCGACGAATAATAAATATGTAAAATGCGTCCGTTCTTCTCTTTACGTAGTCATACAAGCACTCCTTGAAACTTGCCTCTTCCAAAAACTTTGCAGTCCTCTCTTACGATTCTCTATCTTTTGTTCACTTTACTCTCGTCCCCTCCTCCGATCTCACGCCGTCTTTTCGTTAAACCTCGACTCAGCTCAATTTCCTTTTTACGTAACTCTTTTCTGTTTCTATGCTCGATAGATTTTTTTTTTTTTCTTTTCTTGATACTTTCTTAAGTATCTCACTTTGTAGGATTTTCACGTGTTAGAATTATTTCATTAATTTCAGAACAAACTGCTAGCTAAAATTTCCTTTGGTACATATAATATTCCGTCACGCAGGGAATTTCACACGCCGATGAACCGCAGGTTTTGATGATCGACCGTCAAATTTTCTTTGAAAACACGATCATACCGATTTCGGTAACAGGATGTACCGATCCAAGGATATATATTATCCGTTTTCCAGTTCGCCTTCAGTTTCTATACTTGACTTACGTTCATTGACAACGCCTCGAACTATTATTACGTGTGCCACACTCGTTTCGCAACTTGTGAACAATATAACGCAGAAAACGAGAGAGAGAGAGAGAGAGAGAGAGAGAGAGAGAGAGAGAGAGAGAGAAAAGGTAAAAAATGTACGTAAATACTGTTCGTAAGCGGTCAAAGTATTATTCGCAAAGTAAATCTCCACACGGTGTACACAAGTGTTTAAACGCCGCGTCTCTACCCACGTGGTACTCGCACAGGTTTAACAATACCAAGTTTACAGAGAGAGAGATATCTCGCAAGGAGACAGGATCCTTGCGTCACACACGGCCCCTGTGCAAATTTACCGAAGAAACGAACAAACTGCACCGATACGGAAAAAGAAAAGAAATAGGAAAATGTCAGATCGCCATCGCGGTGCCCTTCGGAGATGCTCGCGCGCAACAATGTGCTCATTGACTGACCGAAGCCAGGAACCCCTAACTAGCGCGATTGGTCTCTCCGGAGAGATCACCACCACCGTGGACGTGGAAATCCCGTTAAACGAATAATCGATGACACTGGGCCCACGACCAGGGACGGCGAATGGGCAAACTGACTCACGGTGAAAAGAAGTAGGGGGAAAAGGGAGTAAGGAGTGAGGCTCATTTGTCTCTCTCTCTCTCTCTCTCTCTCTCTCTCTCTCTCTCTCTCTCTCTCTCTCTCTCTCTCTCTCATCTTTTCGTCTGATCGTTCATAACTTTCGTCCTCTTTTCTCCACTCTCTTTTCTATGCCTCTATATTCTCTCTCGTTTCTTTTTTCCTTTCTTCCTTTCTTTCTTTCTTTCTTTTTTTTTTCTTCTCTGCTTCACACATACACACGCACACACACTTCCGTTACCTCGGTTTCTCTTCCTTTCTGAATTTCGCGCGCGTGTGCGTGCGCAGGCGGAGCGTAATGTAAATTGAACAGCACGTTCCGTTATGCGAGTGACCTGATATTCTTTTTTCGTGGGCCTGCTTGTTTACGGGGCCCGCGGCGACAAGAAATCTAGGTAACGAGAACGAAACACACCGAAACGATTGCCACTTGTAAAAATGAAACTTCCATACACCGATGAACCATTGCTTTTCGATTGACCTCTTTGCCTCTCTACTCTTTGCCTCTCTGCTGCTAACGTCGAACGAAACGATCGTTTCAAATGTATTTTCAAATGTATTTTAGGAGCATAAAGTTGCAAGTAATTCTATGGAAGAAATGTATTGGCTTGTTTGAAGCGTATCTCTTCGTAACATATGCATAAATCATATTGGATGTATGCACCATGTTAAATTGCGGACATCGCTATAAAATTAAGCGTAATATGAAGTTTAATCTTTGATTAATATATATTTTATTATAAAATATTATAATAAATATTAAATATATAATATTATTATTATATTATAATATTAATAATAATAAAACTGTATAAGTAATAATTAATGATATTATTATAATGTATTATGATAAATATTAAATATATAATATATCATATTTAAATACAATATACAATAATATATTATATATTATGTATAAATAATATTATTATTATTATTATGCTATAATATTAATAATAATAAAACTATATAAGTAATAATTAACAATAATATTATAATATATTATAATATATTATAATAAATATTAAATATATAATATATAATAATAATTATTATTACATTATATTATTATTATTATTATATATATATATTATAATAAATATTAAATACATAATATATCATATTTAAATACAATATACAAGAATATATGTATATTATTATTTTATTATATTATATATATTTATTATACAAGTAGAATAAGCTTTAAGTTGTTTAACTACCTTTTCCTGCAATACACTATCTACACGAATCACACACAAAACAATAATCACGCAATTAATTCTACTTCAGCTACCCCAGAAACTGCAGAAATAAAATTGCTCAAGAGAAAAAAGAAGAAAAAAAAAAAAGAAGATAACGGAACCAGGTTATTTATCTGATTTTTGTTACATTTCTCTTTTTCAAACGACGTAAAAACCTACTTCCCTCAGTTTTAAAGCTCTGCATGTTCTTTACGTTCATTATATATTCAGCTCCAAGTTGGTATCTTGTGTTAAAATTTACTTCGATTTGCCGCGTCGCTAGTCACGACATTAACGGTGATAAGTGGATTTCATTATTTCTGTTTTAGATTTTGCGATTCTACGTTCGAATATAGGACGAGTGGTACTCGTCGTGAAAAGAGAAATTGGAACTATCTCGATGCACGCAGCAACTCCAACAGGAGAAGATGCATATAACGTGTAATCGAATAAAATTATCAGTTTAGCAACGCTGTGAATATTGTTAGAAAAAAAAAAAAAAAAAAGATAAAAGTAACGAGTCACACTAACAACGTATAAATATTTAACGCAAATCTTCCTACACTTGAAATCTTACGTCCATTAAAATTTATCGCCGTAGTTTAAAATTTCTGACGTAGACATTCAACTGACATTTCGTGACCATAAGGAAGTGAATAAAATTATTTCACGGGACGTTATCTCGAGACGTTTCTTTGCGAATATGAAAATGTAACGTGTAACATAACGTCTATCGTATATTAGCCTCTTCCTTTTAAGATCGTAGTCCCGGCTGTTTGAGATTCACCGAGCAGCACAATCTTTTTTCAATCTTTTCAATATACGTACCATCCTTGAAATATATACGTGACAACTTTGTATACCTCAATTACAAGATAGAAGCTACATATTCGAAATTCTACGACAGTGATGAATGATGTCTTTTGCTACGTTGAATTCAGGAAAAGGAACATAATTCGTTTTAAGATAGAAGCTTAAGAGTCCGTCCGAGCATTTGAATTTCAAATTTCTCGAATAAATCTGGGAAATTTTTATTTCGCAATAGATTTGATATTTTGATCCGTGACCTTACATCCTCTGAAATTCCGGCCTCGAAACATTTTTACACGTCACGAAACTATCATCGCCATTACATCGAGATAATTTCTGTTAAAGAAAATTATGCTACCTTTGCCTATCGTATTATCGTAGTGTTGATTTTCAGCTAAAGAAAATCGCGTCAGTCATTGAAGAATAATTGTAAATTATGCCGGATATAGTACTGGCAAGGCTGATGCATGTCACTGACTTAGAACGTAATATATCTGATTATTACTAGCATAGCAAGTATTTCGTAATCATCTAACATCCTCTGTTGTAATCTAACTTTACGCTAAATGCTTACGTGGAGTCGTTCTAAGCAGATGATTCATTAAAAATTGTATCTCTCTTCTTAATGTTTTCTCAGTCGCGTCTCTCATAATCTTGTACTGCTATTAGACTTGCATCTATCATTTTTAACTCCCTTTTATTTCTGACCTCTTTTTTTTGTTTGATGAAAAAAGAAACTTTTCTTTACGATAAAAAATTAACCTTTTCTTTTTCTTCTCCATACAAACGAACACGAGACATATAGAAAATTCGCGTGAATATCAGTACAGCTAAATATATCTTTAATGACTAATGACTTGATGACTCTGGGTTCTCATAAATAAAACCAATTGTCGCTATTATTCTTCAAGAGTTCGTTCACCTCGAAACAGCTATTTCGATCTATCAGCATGAGATAATTAACACGCGTGCATGGAAACCGCGAATAATGTACATTTCGCTTCATTCCAGCTATAAATAAACATGTATCGCGTGCATGCACGCGCTATTCACACAGAAATGGAAGAAACAAAAAAAAAAAAAAAATGAAGAAGAAGAAGAAGAAGAGGCAAATTCGAAGAAACGGAGGAAGACGTTGAAGAGTCGTGGCGCGGATCAGAAGAGTTTATTTTTCTGCAGGCAACGAACGCTGAGGACGTACGCTGCCTGAATACGAATGCGCCTCTCAAAACACGAACGAGAGAATTCTATTTCAAGACCAGATTTAACGTCAGCAGACATGTACATTGGTTGATCGTCAGCAGATACCAGATTTTCAAAGATTATAAAAGTCTTTTTTATAATTTATATATATATATATATATATTAATATATTATAAAAAAAATTTAAAATATTAAAAATATAAAAATATATTAATTATAAAAATATTATATTACATTATAAAAAAAATTTAAAATATTAAAAATATAAAAATATAATAATATATTAATTATAAAAATATTATATTATATTATAAAAAAATTTAAAATATTAAAAATATAAAAATATATTAATAATATATTAATTATAAAAATATTATATTATATTATAAAAAAAATTTAAAATATTAAAAATATAAAAATATATTAATAATATATTAATTATAAAAATATTATACTATAAAATATATTAATATTATATTATAAAAAAAGCTTTTTCTTAGTAAGTAATTAAATTAGTTCAAGAAGAATTGATTGTTTCAAGTATAACAATCGAATCTTTCTTCTCAGTTTTCTTTTTTTTTTTTTTAGTTAGAAGCAGACTTTGCAACGCGCTTCAAATGAAAATTACAAAAGTCTACAAGTTCGTCTATACACAATACACAATACAACCATACTAAATTTTTTCCTCTGTAATATAAAGTGCGTGTGACACTGTTATCTGTATGTCTTCCACGTTCGCATGAAAAAATATCGCGAAAGACTGTGACTCACCTTAAACGGCGAACATTACGGTACATGGATTGTTAAGAATATCTTATTTTTTTCTTCGACACGATGGACATTACGCTTTAATATCCTTCTTTCGTTACCTACGCGAAAGTAAATAAGCGCAATTACTCGAAGGTACTCATTTTCCTTCACGACGGCCGAGAAAAATAACGAACGAAGCTGAGGAACGCGTGCGTGATTGCGGAGAAATTTGAAAGTACAGCTGCAGGTTGTGTCCTGTTATATGGGGAAAAACCTCCACCATCGAGTAAGTTTTACCATTTCTACAGCTAAAATAGCCCCTTCCTCTTTAAAACTGTTTCTCATCATCTCGCGAACAAAGTAAATTTAAGGAAATATGCTTCAGCCTATTCAGCATGCTCTACAACTTGTTTCTTTATTTCATATCCCGAGGAGCTCTTTCGCGACCAACAATCTTACGTGGTTTTGCAAGGAAAAAAAAAAAAAAAAAAAAAGAAAGAGAGACGCGTAAAAATTTCTCCGATTAACGCTTCAACGATCAGGAAAATTTTGTACGCATTTGCGAATCGAACGATCGGCAACTCCTTACCGATACACGTTTAATAACTTCCGATCGTGCGTGTACTTTTTAACGAGGTGACAAATTATGCACTGGCCGATGACCGTCGGATGAATCATCTATTATAATAATCAACGAAATTGAATGCGAAACTCACCCGCGTGAAATAATCTTCATCGTTCACCTCGTACTCCATTTTCTCGTTCTCCTTTCCCACAGACGAGCAATTAAGTTCGCTTCTCGGTCGGTCAAGTTTTTGTTTTTTTTCCCCTTTAACACGCACAATTACCAAGATAGCTATAATATTCGAGTGAACGCGAAATCGCACAGCGATTTAACAATCACGTGGGGGTTCTAATACAATCTTTCACGACTATTGCAGAGTAATATCCCAGCCATCTAATTCTATGTTTCACTTTCAGCAGACTACTCTCATTGGCATCAAAGAAAAAGAAAAAAAAAAAATCTCCACCGTAATTGAAAAAATTTCACGCTCGACCAAGTACAGATGACCGTAGGAAGAAACGGCTGAAGATACAAAGGAGGATTTCTCTCTCGGACGCGCGTATCTACCGTACACACTCGCGTAATAACCGAACGTGCAATGACATCGATGATGCCTGGAGAAGGTGGAACGAGCAGTTCGTCATCGTCGTCCAGACGAGAAAGCACTTCGAATGCGCGCGTTGCGCGCGACGATTTAAATGCGCGATGCGCCGAACTTGACAATTGCTAAACTTGCGATCACGTGAGAGACACTCGTCGATAATCGATGAACTGATCGACCAGCGATAATCCAACCAACTTAAACTGACTCTTCGATCGTAAACGGAGATTCACGCTACGCAGTTCTCGGAAAGGAAAAGAAGAAAAAGACAAAAAAAGAAAAAAAAGAAGAAGAAGAACGCTACGAAGGAATACTCTGTACTACTACTGTTCGTTCGGCACTTTCTCGGAGTATGTGTAGTATCTCGTAAGAGAGAGATTTTTAGCTGAGACTAGGTGAAAGAGTAGGAGAAAGAGTCGTACGGCGAAAGAAGGAAGAGAGGGACCTTCTTTACCAGGCGAAGGATTGAAAAGAGGTAGCCGGGCCAGCGTCGAAGACAGGAATATACGTATAAAACGGCGAGAAAGTGGGAACCCTGCGTGCCGATATTTATGCAACAGCACCGACGATCGCATAAGCTCGCTTGTACGCCAGAACACCATCCGTGTACACTTTCTAATTGTTCTTCCTGATCAACTCTTACCGGTCGTATATTACGTAACAGGAACACAGCGCATACGCGCGAGTTATGAGATGCCGTACACGTTCCGACTCTGCCTTTATCGGCTTCAACTCCGTTCGAACGAGAAAAATCCAATTTTCCGAACTAATTGACAGACAGACACCGCTCCGGTACCCGATTTCTTCCAGATCGTCGAACAATCGCCGTTTATTTGGGGATTTAGCCGCCAACGCTGTGTGTGTGTGTCTATTATTACGTAAAGAAAGCATAACGTAAGGGTTACGTTACACCTAGGTAACGTTTCTAGAGTTACTTTGCGAGAACGTCTCTCGCTTGCGAGAACCAACTTGACCGTCTCGACTTGTTTCAACTTTCCATGCATCGTTTCTTTTTTTTTTTTTTTTTTCTTCTGAGAAACGGGGTAACACGCGAGCAGGCTGTTTCGAATGATTCGTCTGGAACGATCGATCAGATAGTTGAAGATGGAGGGGGAAAAAAACCGAAGACGTTGGAAACGTCTGCTCACATGTGTATCGCGTGCCACTAACGACTATCGGGGCAACGTTAACAGATTTATTATCATCTCAGGCCTGAGTCAGCGCTTAATTTTACGACGTGGGACACAAATTGAGAATAGGAAGATTTGATCATGGTATAACGCCACGACAAACCACGGTAAACCTGTTGAATGAAATTCTTTTTTTTTTTTTTTTTTTTAGTCGACATCCGAGCAACTGAATTTTTTGATCTGACTTTACGCGACTGGGAAAAAAAAAAAAAAAAAAAAAACAATGGCGTTAACTTTCATTGTACGAATAGCAATTACATAAACGGTTTATCTGTCTGTTTCTCGACAAGTTTCAGATAAACGGACTTCCACTTGCAATAATCAGCCGTGAATGCGTTAATAAACGCGATTCGCGTCACTTAACCAGGCGAGGGATTAATTGCTGTTCAAACGTAACGCTGCGATGCACGTCACACATAAGGTGCATAAAAGGAGAGAAAAAAAAAGAAAAAAGACGTATAATTGCGCGATCGACTACGACATATCATTGTTCGTTGCATAACGCGTATCGTTAAAAGTGCAACAGGTATCATACGTACGCTGATATTACGTGCAACTTCCCGCGGATGTAAATCTTCGATAGGAGACACGTCATACATGTGGATGTTACGTAAAATCATACTACTCGCTGACATAATATCGGGAACGAGCTTCTTGTACGAAGTAACGCAAAACGATCTTGGAACGTAGAGGCTGGATCAGTTAACGCAGCAAATGAGTGTTCACGGGAGTTGCACGTGTGGATCACGATATTTATTTAGTGCCAAGGACCGATTGTAATTCATATCGTTATAATTGGTTCTCACTATTTTTCTATAAAAAAAACTCTTTTACACAGTGAGAAGCTAGACGAAAGTAGATCGCTTGGGGTAAAAATACCACCATTCTGTTACGTATAGATTTCAAAAATTTTACTAAAATTATATGATACGACTTCGTTGTCGCTAGACGCAATACACTATGTAGAACTGATAGCAATGAAAAAAAAAAAAAAAAAATTATAGATAGTTGAGAAATGATAAGATCGTACAATTGTAGAAGTAGTAGGGAAAGAAAATAATTGGCAGCTATGTAACTAGGATGTTATATGAAATAACATTTGCTTTCCAAACGAGATTGTTACGTAGACTTTCGAGGAAAGTGCATTTGCAAAAAAAGTGCATTTGTTACGACCATGTGTGTTAGTAGAATATCCATGTGAGTGCAGCTTGTGTGCATTAATTGCACGGCGATAATTTTGCAATTGTTTCAATTCCCAAACGGGATCTCATCAAGCATTTCCTCGACTAACAATAAGTGAAACTTAGACAAGACATAATGTAATATTTCTAATGTGCAGAATTATCATTTTGCGAAATTATTTTATTACTCTTATTACGTCTTTTCTTCACATTTATTTATTTTTTCTTTTATTTATTTATTTATTTACTTTTCCCTTTTTTATTTATTTTTATGGTACGGTTACATTTTTATGGTTTACGAATTTGGAGCGACGACTCTTCGTCTTTATTTATCGATCACTGATATAACGATTTAGATAACCAATTACTTTATAACGCGTATATTTCGTGATACGCGTCGTACTGAAAAATTACGCGCGAATCGATAGAACGCGATCCTTCATTTTTATAATTTATTGGCAACGAGAAAAACAAGAATGAGTCACACGTTCAGGAAAGAAAAAAAATTCTTACGAAAACAATATCAAGAAATTTCCACGCGTGATTATGATGCCATATTACGGGTTGTTTCATCAGCTAAATGTTGCCTGACATTGAACTGGAACAATATTCTCGATAATATAAAAGGATCTTTACGCGCAGACATTGTCCAATACGATAATTTGTTGTATGTAAAAGATCCAAGCAAACGCAATCACACTAGTAATAATTTCAATTATGATTTTCAAACGTTTAAGATAAAATGTTCAAGTTTAAGAGGACAGATACTGAAATATTTCCTCTCTTGGAGTACTTAAATTTATTCCACACAGTATGTACGTTTATTTGCACGAGATATAAAATATGAATGTAAATCAAATTAAAACAATTTCCCTCAAACTATGATATATATATATATATATTATGCTATGTATCGTCTATGATTTAACGACAGTATTTAACAAACTGATGGCAAGAACTGCGAAATCTCGAATGAGTTTTATAGTTTAGGTGAATAACGAAGGGGTTGTTTCACCATCGAATGAACATAGAGCACATTTCCTTCAGATTAGAACTATAAGAATATAATTAGAATTTATGAAAGAGTTACAAGAATATAATACACAATTAATTTACACGAGACGAACGAAATTGTTGATTAGATATATTCGCTATGAACCTATCGCTGCGGGAAATACACTTGCATTTTATTCACGTGTAAATATTCCTACTATCGTCTTGCAAATCGTCCATTGTTCGCCGAGCTTCCTGGCTATTCACAAAGCGTAATTTCGCGAGAAGGCTAACAATATCGATCGTGAAGTTCCTTCTTTGTGAGACGATCGTATCTGCGTAATTGAAAATTATGTTCTGGTTGAAAATTTCCGTTAGGAATATAAATAAAAAAAAAACAACAGAACGAATGTAAAGGTCCACAGCTGATTCGTAAGTGACAAGAAGAAAAAAAGTGATCTTATAAAAAATTTTTATCCCATTTATTTAAGTGGAATGGAATCATTTCACACGTGGAAATATTAATCGGGTCAAGAGAAAAGAGAAAAACTTTCAGTCTGTTATATTTATATGAATATTTGTCTTGAATTTTTACAAGGACAAAATGGAATAAACGTGGATTCAATTTCTCGATATTTAATTCTGATTGTATCGTTTTCCGTGTCAATCGATTTTATTAATGTATATTACAAGCAGCTGCATAAACTCGTTTAGGTCACAGTGAAAATATACGTGTGTACATTACATGTGTACTACTTCATTCATTCGAATGAATATGCAATTCGGAAATGGCCAATTCGAATAGGCCATCAGGTAAATTAGTAACATTAGTAAAATTACATGGACTACGTAAATCCTATCTGTCAATCATCATTTTAACTCGTCATTTAAATCTGAACAAATTGATTTCGCGAAGATTAAAAATAATATTTAAAATGAAAGGGGACAGTTAGATTGTGCATCAAAGGAACGTTACGAGTTCTTATCCAATTAAATATAAATTCTCAAGCTCTTAACATACCCTTGGATCTGTTAATTATTAAAAACAAAAAAAAAAAAACAAAAAATTTGTCTCGTTGGTATCACTTCTTTGTTTCCATAAAAAAGAAATAAATGTAATTCAACCATTTAGAAAAACAACAGGAAAGGAATTAGATCTTGCGATACTTTTTAATTGGAACTTCTTTGTAATAATTCCAATCGAATGAGTCATTGATAAAGCTTTTGTTTCATTCTTTGTATCAGTTTCGATTGTAATTAGCCAGTCGTGTTAAAATGGACTTGCATGAATGTCTAATTTTGAGCAGCGTTGGTACAATGAAGTAGCAATAACGTTAAAGACTTTAGAGAGGAGTTTCTCCTTAAATAAATACGCAATTTAACTCAAAAAGAAAAGATAACGACTGGAAGCTGACTGGTTAAACGAATAAATTTCCTCCAACTATGGCCATCTGATCGTGTTAAATGGCATTATTGCTTTCAGCAACGCAGTAGGCACGAATGTTTGCACATGCCCGCACAAGTATTTACGTTTATAAATTAAACATTTTTCTGACTAATGGTATCGAACTGTTTCGTTTTATCGATAACAACCTTTCGCGGTCATACTTCGCGATAGCTTCGACTTTTTTATAATGGAACAAATGGCGCGTCATTCATGTTACCATTAGAGTGGCAAGGAAATGAAAGTTTAAAACAACGAAAGTTTAAAAAAAAGATATAGATAAATAAGTAATAATAATAAAAAAAAAATAGGTAATTAAAAAATAAGGAAAATAGGTAAAAACACGATGAGCAAACATCTTCTGTACTCGTTACGTGTGTCATTTCTGTGTTTCACGTGTACACGTTAAATACTTGTTCAAAGTAAGAACTCGGCAAGTAACTTATCTGTCGAAGAACACATTCTCCGACGGTGATTCACTATTCAATATTTTAGAAATTAGCAAAATCATTTGGTGAACGATGTCACACATGTTATCATCGTCGCGTCGACTGTGAAATGTTAACGAAGGTCAACAAGGATCCTGTTCCTTCGAGATTGACCTTTCGCGGATCGATCAAGTCCACGAACGAAACAATTTCAAGCACACGCTCTCTGTATTAATAAAAATCGTGAGGTTATGACGTCTGAATGGCTATTGATCGGCAGAGTGCTAATTAAAGGACGTCTTGAATGAATAATGGGGAAAGTTTTATGTAAGAGGGAAAATGGACTAAACTCGATTACACTCGGCTACGTAAAATAAATAGGAATATTTTTAAACCGATTAAACAACTGATTTTTGTTACGTCACTTGTGTTCAAGAATAAATTAATATATTTAGAGGAATGTGACTTCGTTAATTTCGACAATTCATTTGTACAAAATAAACTTTGTACAAATTATAATTAATCTTGCTCTCGTAAGATTAAAGTCAACAAAGTTAATTTCGCGATAAAGAAAAAAAAAAAAAAATACGTATTTGCACATGTCTGGCAATAAGTAACAATTTTTAGAAAATTTAATTCGTTTTGTCGACACCGATGTCTGCTTCCATTGCACGCGTGTGTTTTCGAAATGATACGATCAAATCAATATAAACACCTCGAAGAAATATCTATCGATTAATAAAACAATTTGGGCATGATTGATCGATTTTCATTTTCTTTACACGCTCGACAAAATTATCATCACGTGAGAAACTAATGATGGAAATGACCAAAGGAGTCGTCGTTCAAGCGGAAAGTTCCTCCAGCCACGGTCTGGGAACGTGACATCAGACGATTATTTTCAAATTTATGCCTTCTGAAAATTTCAGTCGATTAGCGTTAAATACATGCAAGAAAAAAATAAACGCAAAGGCAAAATTTCCGGAGATCCGTGTTCGGACTGGGGAACTTCCACTCGTGATCGATCTTCTTAGAAGAAGCATAAAGAAGAAAAGGAGAAGTTTGGCGAATTACCTTGTCACTCGAATTTCTTGACTCTTGTTGATATTTCTCTCGAAAATTAACTTGTTTTTGTTATTCGATACGTCTACTTACGTAAAACGAAATTTTTTTTTTTTTTTTTTACCAAAATTGCCGTTTCATTGATTTTAAAGCTAAAACTTTGTTTCTCTTATTCAAAGACTACGTGAAAATGACGAAAGTTACATTTCTTATTTTTACAGGAACATTAGAAAAATTCTTCTGTTACTTAATCTTAGAATTAGAAATATGTTCTTTTGTCTCGTTTAAAAATTTTCATAATACGATTCGACTCCCAAAAATCACCGTTTACTTTCACTTTCAATTACACTAAGATCCCGAAGTGATGTTAAACCTCTTGCCACGCACGTCGAGAATTTTCTGTTCCAAAATTGTGATATTTTCGCAGTTATAAGTATATTTAAGTAAAACAAATAATAAATTTATTACTTCTCAAGTAATTTCTGTCCAGCGATATCGTACCGACGAGTTGTCAAAAAGGAAACGACGAATTATTGTATACGGTTCGGTCACTCGTTATGGTCCGCAATCAGTTTTGCCAGCGCATGTGGTTAACACTAGGTACTATCAAAGTGGTCGAAATGCATAATTTTCCAATCTATTTTAATTTTTTAGATATTTTAGATACTTTATATATGGCACACTGCAGTCAATATAATTTTGACAATAATAATATTCTAATGATATTAATCTCTTGTCACGCACGTCGAGAATTTTCTGATCCAAAATTGTAATATTTTCTCAGTTATAAGTATATTTAAGTAAAACAAATAATAAATTTATTACTTCTCAAATAATTTCTGTCATATCGACAAGTTCGAAAAGAAAGCGACGAATTATTGTATACGGTCACTCGTTACGGTCCGCAGTCAGTTGCCAGCGCAAGTGGTTAAAATCAGGAGAATCTGGCTGGAGAGAACTTCTGATTAACAGGGGATTATAACCGTGGTTAACGAGGTAAAAATCACCTCCTCGGCGTAGAAGAGCCGCCGTTTGATTTCCCATGCGAATAACAGTGAATAAAAGGCGGCGTGGGCGCGCAAGGCGTTTCAAGGAGTTTTTCTCTCCGCTATCTCCGAGTGACGTCTTTCCTCTGCGCCCCGGTTATGCCTCTGACTCACTACTTCGAGTAATATTAGAACGTGCCGCGAGAGTTGACTCGCATATGCGTTCCTCGAGTCGCTCTTCCACCCCCGTCGTGCACATTTCCCTTGCTTCGCGCAGCACAGACGGATTAATTGCAACTGGGAGAAGAAAGAAGGGCTGACGCGAATCACCGAGACAAAGACGAGAAGAGACAAAGAAGAAGAAGAAGAAGAAGAATTGAAGATCTGTAACACGCTATGCGTAGTCGTGCAATAATTGTTGGCAAGACGAGTGAACAATGAAGTTTGGAGGTGTTTCATGGTGCTCTAAGTGCTTTGTTTCAGACATACGTAGAGGACACGTAGGAATACATTTCGAAGAGAGGAGACGATATTTATAGAAATATGAGTCACGCACTCCAAGTTGAAGTTGATAGTAGAATCGTTAAATTTGTGAAAATTGTTTTTTTTTTTTTATGCAATATTGGAACGTTATCAACACTATGGAATTTTAATCGTAATTATCTTCCGAATCTTGTAATTGTTTTCTGAATAATTCATTCGAAAAGGATAATCTAATGTTTCACACGTATTTTAATATTACAATTGTGAAATTTTCAAGAAATGAAGTCAATTGTTAATTTCTTTCTTTTTTTTCCATTTCTCAGTGACTTTTCTTTTTTTTTTATATATTTTTTCAATTCTATTTTAAAACAATTTTATCATACGATTAGTGATTCAAGAATAAACAAGGAATTGTTATGTTGAGTAAACTCATCTGTGTGCTCAATCTCGTCTACGTTATCGTTCAATTATCTTTAGGAATGTCTTAGCTAAATGCTTCTAATAAAAGACAAAAGTCGAACAATACTGTTCTATTGGTAATCCAACTGTAAAATCATAAAAAATCTTCTAGTGCTTCCAAAAAAAAAAAAACTTCAAAAAAGATATAATAAAATATATATATATTCTAGAAGATTATCTATTAATCTCATCGTTAGAAATTTAGAAACGCAAAAACAGATTAACCCTCCTACTACTGAACCTCAGCGTCCGGTGCTGGAGTCATTTCTGACTCACACGAATATCCCACTAATTCATATTTAGGGTCGTCCGGATAGCCTCATACTGTACAGAGTGTAACGGTCGCTCGAGACCGAAGTCCTTATCGATATAGTACCAACACAGTGACAGACACCCGACTCATATAGGAACGAATAATAAAGTTATTTATATTTACTCTACATCTATGTCATTTACTGTCAGGAACGTCTTGTGCAAATTGAGCGAAAGAAGACAAAGAAAAATTGCTCGTTGGCAATGACGACATTGCGTCAACAAATAGAAACAACGGAAAAAAAGTAATAGAAAAAACAAAAATATGAATAAAAACAGTAAATTAATAATAAAAACAGTAAAATATTAGAATAGTGCTAAAAACTAAAATCTAAATAGTAAATATAATACAAAAAATAGAAAATACTAAAAATAATATAAAAATAGTATAAATAAATATAATACAAAAAATAATACAAAATACTAAATACAAAAATTGTATAAAATACTAAATACTAAAAACAGAAATAATTCGAACTATTAAATACTAAATACTAAAATACTAAAACAATAACAAAAACACTAAAATATGAAATAAACTTTGAAATAAAAAATTGCTTCGATTTGCTGCACACGTCTTTCTTCTTCAGAACGTTACCAGAAACTGATTTTTTTCGTCTTTAATCGTCGTCACTTCAGCAATTTGGCAAACATATGGCGCACAGCTACATGATGCTCGTGTGTTAGTGTGATCACTAACACAAGCAACTCCCAGCACAGGTCAAAACTGTGACTACGGCAGGCGGAAGGTTAAAAGGCTCAGAATTTTCAAAAATGTGAAGAACGTTGCCAGGTAACTTGCTTAGTTAGTGAACTGCTCTCTGACTTGGCCAGAAAGGGGGAAAAAAGGGGAAGGATAACTAAAAGCCGATGGTGCTCGGAACATGTGTATAGAGAAACATTCTTATCTCGTCGAGGTTGACTAAATAAAGATTTGAATCGGCGACCGTATTGAGAAACGATGCAGAACTCGGTTCGAATGCAATAAAACAGCTTTGGACGCAATTTGTATTATTAAATTCGCAATTCTTTTCACGTGACAAGTTATTATTTGTTTAATTATATGATAATTACATCTATGTAAAATTCTTCTGTTACTGAAATATTGCAATTTTTCGAAAAATTAATATGTTGAAAACGTGAAAGACACTGTACGTATGTATTGTGCCGCTACGTGACGATTAACATTTGGTTTTCTAAGATCGACTTTAATCATTCGAAAACAGTTATTTTCAATTACGATACTGACCAACATTATTTACCTCAGTCGTTTGCATAATAATACTCAATAAAGATAACTTAAAAATTTTAAATTCACGAATTCACAAACTGGAGTCTATTTGAGAATAATACAGGGTGTCCATAAAGTCTCGTTACAATTTCAAAAATTTATCACAAAGGAAAATGAAAAGACAGATAATTGGAAATTATTACAAAATAAGACGTATATATTTAAGTATTTTTTTAAATGAGGCAAAAAAAAAAAACTTAAATATATACGTCTCATTTTGTAATAATTTCCATCTATCTGTCTTTTCACTTGCCTTTGTAATAAATTTTTGAAATTGTAAAGAGACTTTATAGATACCCTGTAGAGCCCAAACGCGTTAATTAAACAACCGTTTAGACAATCGAGCAGCTTCGTTCTCGCGAAAATTCCTCCGCAAGAAAATCTGACACAATTTCTATTCTTGTTTCCCAATCTTTCTCAAAGGGAGTATCCCCGAAGTTCCCGCCAATAATCGATGCTCCAATAATCAATCGTTCCATTAATCGCTGCTCCAATATTCAAGCTTCTATTGTACTACAAAAAAACATCGAGTAAAAAAAAACGTGCATTTCAAAAGAGAAAAAGACACGAAAGGCAGTGTATCGCAAGATATATCCGAATAGAATCGATCATACTAGTAACGGAGTAAACCTCTTTCGCTGGAATAACGTGCCACGCACGTCGAGGATTTTCTTGTTCCAAATTGCAACATTTTCTCAGTTTCAAGTATAATAATATATTTATAAATGTAACCCAGGCAAAACAAACAATAAGTTTATTACTTCTTGATAATTTCTATCAAGCGATATTGTACCGACGAAGTTCAGAAGAAAAAGAAAGCGACGAATGAATTTATTGTATATGGTTCGGTCACTCGTTATGGTCCGCAATCAGTTGCAGCGCAAGTGGTTGAAATTGCAAGTTTCTTTTTTTTTGAAAAGTCAATCATTTTATTACTAATTATTAACTTAACTAATATTGATTAATTGACGAATAATAATACTGGAGGTTTAACATTAATAGAAGTTTAATAATAATATGAACAGAAGTAATGTTAATTAACATTAACGGAAAGGAAATATTTAGAAACGATGTAAATGATAAGTTTATTATTTCTTAACAATTTCGATCCAGCGATATCGTATCGGCGAAGTTCAGAAGAAAAAGAAAGCGACGAATGAATTTATTGTATACGGTTCGGTCACTCGTTATGGTCCGCAATCAGTTGCAGCGCAAGTGGTTGAAATTGCAAGTTTCTTTTTTTTTGAAAAGTCAATCATTTTATTACTAATTATTAACTTAACTAATATTGATTAATTGACGAATAATAATACTGGAGGTTTAACATTAATAGAAGTTTAATAATAATATGAACAGAAGTAATGATAATTAANATTAACGGAAAGGAAATATTTAGAAACGATGTAAATGATAAGTTTATTATTTCTTAACAATTTCGATCCAGCGATATCGTATCGACGAAGTTCAGACGAAAAAGAAAGCGACGAATTATTATTTACGGTTCGGTCACTCGTTATGGTCCGCGCGAACCAGTTGCCAGCGCAAGGGGTTAAACCACGATTACACAATCATTGAAACGTCACGCGAGCATCATCATTACGCTGGTTGTACGATGATGTAATCTTCATTGTACGCAATTGAGAAAACTTCTCAGCTACTTGCTCATCAACAGAGAGCTACGTGATACTACTACGTACGAACAAGATAGACGAGGCAGAAGTTGCGGTTTTACATCAGTCATTTCGATGCTCGCGTGTGGCCACGACCTTACGTGGTGGCTCTGTCTGTGTTGGACGTGTTTACGCCGTACGTAAGAGAACAAGAGGCGTAGAACTCTGACACGGATAACCTTATCGATCTTCCAAGCAACTTCGAGAGTTCCTAGACGCTATATAGAGCGCCGCGCCGGGTTTTGTTCGCGTAAGATGAGAAATGACGCTGCACGAAACATAAATGGGGAGGGCCGGTGTGAATCAAGACACGCTATTGTCCGAGATTCTCTTGTAAATTATTACAAAAAGAATTAATATTAATAGACACGCGATGCGGCTATGTATGCACGTAATGACTATGCTTTATCTCGCTTATTTCTCTCAAGTGATGATTCCTTATCTTTATGAAAGCACTTTGGCAAACAATCACTCCGAGAGTAATTGAATGTAATTAACGCATTTATTTCTTAATCTTTGTCGTTCCTAACCTTTTTTTGACCATGCCTCACCTAAGCATCTCTACACGTAATTCTTATTATTCAAAAAGTGAATTTTTTGACGTGGAGGAAGCTTAAAAAGCCATTAACTTCGAGATCTAAACATGAGAACATGTTCCAAAGAAAGTGACATCCATGAAGACTTAAAAAAAAAAAAAAAAATTCATTCTCGAATTGCCTATAAATTAATTAACTTTTATTGCCTACTTGTTCGTTCAACTTTAAATATAAGACGTAGAGTAATTTTCTTTATATAAAATATTTGACAATTCGAGGCTTTATCTTTCTCGATTAACTTTGTCACAGCGATTGACATTGGCGTTTCATCAATTTCAAACGGAAATAATTCCCAATGACTATCAGCAGTTACATAAATACACTTGCATGTCAAGTGCAAAATAAACGTGTAGATATTGCCTATAATATTGTTATATTTAGAGTCAGCTATATAGATTTTACGCTATGCCAATCAATAAATAGAAACAACGGCACAATCATAGTAACGCAGTCGTACCGAGTTCTTAGCCGAGCGAAAACATCTGGCAAACGTTGTATGAATTTATTTTTTCAGAATGAAAACTTAGTGGAACTAAGTGAGCCTTTAGAAAGAGATAATTCAACAATTATGATATAATTATAATATAAAGAAATAAATAATATAATTATTATAAATTATAAAATATAAAGGATAATTCAGAAATTCTTTCGATCACACGATAGACGATAATCTCGAACAGGATGTTACGTGTACATTATTATGTATATACTACGACCGTTACTATATACTTTCTGAAGAAATCAAATCGAGCAAATTATGTTGAAGTGAAAAGAAATCTGAACGAAATTCCACGTTCTTTTGTTTATTCAAACAAGAATGACACTGGAGGATATAAAAATTCGTGGATCGTAGCAGAATTAAGCTAAAAATCGATATAACTGAATTCGTTTTATTTGCATGTTTATCGTTGAAAGCAGGATCGATCGTTTTCGTAAGGACAGAGCCAGCAAAAATGCGCGAAACGTCGAGAAAGACGCCGGTAACTGAAAGTTATTTCGGTAATTGGAACGTTTAGGCTTTACACACGTGCACAATCCTAACCTAGATTTTATACCATCTTGTCCGCCGGCTAAGGTGACTCGCGTCCGTATGAAATGTCTTTCGAAAGCGGCGCTGAACACGCAGAAAACGTAACCTTGCAACGGGAATTCACTGAGCAACTGTCTCGTACATCGTGATCTTAACCTATTTCGCGACGCAGCCGTTTTCAACCGATATACATTTCAATGGGTCGTTTTTCTTGCAGCATTTTGCAACGATTTGTCTGCCGGCGGCGTTGACAATCCAACGGAGCCACACACTCACGAAGATATTAGGTCAGTATCTTTCTTTGCGTGTTTTCTGTTTTATCATGCTCGGACGAACTGGAACGTGAATTATAACACAATATGATTTATTCCATGTTCTCGGGCCAGAATAGTTCATTTAATAATCAATCATTTATTGAACGTATAATATTTTTAGGAAAGGTTCTTGAGTAATTTTTCTTTTTTTCCTTTTTTTTTCTTTTGAAGTAATATTTTTAATTACACAATTATTTTAATTACACAAAAATTAGTCCCAGGCCGAACGTTAATGATTTCTTCGTCGAAATATATTCATAAGTTTCGTTCAAGTGTAACGTTATTATAGATCTTTGCGTCAGATATCGACTATAATGATTTCTTCGGTTTTCAGCTGGCGTCGTACTATAAATAATAAAGTGCCCGAGATGGAATATCTACGAATAAAATTACATCTATCATTTGCAATTTAATCATAAATATTCATTGGCACTTGCCAACGAGAGATAATAAATTAGCTCCGCAATAGGAACATAATGTTCGGTAATTAAGTTCTTGCTATTCTTGTTCATTAATTATCTCTATCTCATAATTGGCTTGCAATTTGCAACGAAGGGGAAAAACCGTGGCCAATTGTATGAACTCGGATCGAGCGTGACTCACTCGTCAGCAAAAACACATAAAATATAAATTACTTCTACACGGTAATACATTTCGTTTCTATCAACGATTCTAGAAATGTGTAAGAAAATTAAAAAAAGCACTTAGATGCATTATTACAGACGTATCCAACAACTTAACGCGCAAAATGCACGAAACAGTACATCCTTGAAATAATCGTCGCGTCGGCTGTTGAAATAAATTTACTTGTATCATTATTCCAGAGCCAGAAGTCCTCTTCATATTTTTTTTTTTTTTTTTTTACTTGTCGTTTAGCGATGTTACGCCTCATTTAAACGTGAAAAAGTTAAACATCAATCACATGCTTCGACGTGCTGTTCCACGGCCCTGTGAAGACAGCACCGCTCTCTATCTGAATTATAAATCATGCAAAAGAATCGTCGACTCTTTTTTACTCCGTTGGTTTTCTGATACTTGGAGCAACGTAGCGAGGCACGCAACAGGGGAACGTACTATCTATATATTTTTAGCGACTGCAGCAGCAGCAGCAACATGGCCGCTGCTATTTTTCCATATGCAATCTGGAATTGGATGCTCGCGAAATATCTTGTTCGCGGTGAAACGAGTTCTAAACGGATTCTACGTTTTCCCGTTCCACGATCGTGTGATTGTAGCTTCAATGGGATTACTGTTATAACACCGATCGGTTACCGAGAGGTCTTCGCGAAATCAAGATCCCGAGCCGGAGCGTAAATTGGCGTCAGCCTTGACTCGTTGAAGAATTGAAGTTACGTAATTTCCCATCCGAGAGAAAACGCATGCTCCAACTCGTTCGACGCGTAATTTCAATTGTTAGAACAGATTCGTTCACCGTGGATCAAGAACACTCACTGGACCAGGAAATTTTGAATTTCAGCCCTACGTGGGTCGAGTCACGGTCAACGGCTATTTAAAAGATGAAACTCAAGCCAATGCCGTAATACTTGAAGATTCAGTTTATTTGCTTGCTTTTAATTGGCTCTAACTTTAGCTTCAAACCAACGTGTTCGTTTTTTCACGCCACTTCGTTTCTCTAATAATAGTTGAATGAAATGATGAAATAAGTTTGTATGTTTGCTAACTCTCGTTTTGTAGAAAAGATTTTTTTTCTTTTTTTAGATATCGTTTATACAGGATAGAAAAATTTCATTGTCACGAATCGAATTGAAACTATCTTACGTCTGATCTGGCACTTTAGTGTTAATTAGCGACTACATAACGCGATAATGCGATTACGGGCGATTTTCAAGAAAGGAAAAAAACGTGGGGAAAAACGGAGAAGTCAGAAGTTGTTTACCTGTCATTGAATTAAACGATGATCGCACATTAATCAGAGAATCAATCGCAGTAATTGTTTCCAGTTAAGATTGCTATATAATTTTATCTGTCAGACTAGTAGTATCTGTCTATAGTACTCCGTGCGATACTATTTCTAATAGATGTTTTCTATTATTACGCCAAGCAGAGGACCTCGTCGTCTTTTAGAAACGCAACATGTGACCCACCGGTGAGTCATCTGCTGCAGTCCTTAGATTCTTTTTCATTAAATCATTGCTTTTTATATATACGTGGCAGTGCACAAGTGGCTTTTAAAAGCGTGGTGCTCGTAAATCTTCAGTAAAAAATAAAATTTATTTACCACAAAATATAATATATGTGTTTCTTTTTATTAAAGTAACAACGATTCAAAAAACAATATTTATAATTTGAACAAATTACAATCTGATATAATAAACGAAAACCCAGTGGATCCCCAACGTGTATGTTGTCGGATTAAAAATTTTTTATTAAAAAAAATATATATATATAAAATAAAATATATATAAATATAAAGAAATATATAAAATATATATAAATATAAAAAATATATAAAATATATATAAATATAAAGAAATATATAAAATATATATAAATATAAAGAAATATATAAAATATATATAAATATAAAGAAATATATAAAATATATATAAATATAAAGAAATATATAAAATATATATAAATATAAAGAAATATATAAAATATATATAAATATAAAGAAATATATAAAATATATATAAATATTAAAAAATATATAAAATATATATAAAATTTTCAATAATCTATTTGGAAACATTTGCGTGCCTGTACTCTATACAGTAGTCTAGACAATCAAAGGTAATTTGGTCGAAAATACGTGCGTATAAAGAGATGGAAATATTTTGACCGATATGTCAAAAGTTTGTTCCATCCGCGAGTCAGTTCATTACAACGCAGCAACATTTTAATTACGTGGAATTAAACGCCTCATAGCATAACAAACGTTCGATTTAATAATTCTCTACTTAACTTTCGATCAAGACGCGTAATCGTTAATTCCACGCGAATTCCATAATATTATCTATATGTTTCACGCGAAAACAAATTACGACTGAATTATACATTTGGAGCACCCTTTGCTTTTTGAACGGAAAAAAAAAAAAATAGTAATAATTAATCACCGTTCTAATATCATGAAAGATGGCGTTATATACATCAGATATTTATATTTAAGATTTTAGATATTTAGATTTAAAGAATTCGTTGTTTCTTTCTGAAAGGCTGTGCCTACAACTCAATTCGTTTAATTAATTATTTAATTAATTTAAATAACTCTGGAGAAATCTCGCTTGGACTGAGTGAAACGTTATGAGAATGAAATGTTATAGGGAAATGGCATGACAAAATATCATACTTCGAACGTGAGTGTGCGTTGAAAGTATCGTTCAATTTATGCAAAGCATTCGACAATCACGATCCACGATGTGCAGACGGTTGGATGAAACCAAATGACAGCTGCATCCGCTTGGTTTCTAAATATTCATGCGAAATGCACCATTTATCGCCTACGCCTGTGTTCCCTGCGTATTACCGTGGCTAAATATCGCAGCAATATTCAAGCCAAATGTTCAAACCAAATAATTAGATTCCAAACAAAATTTATTTTTACAAATCAATGGAACATGGGAGACACGTTGAATTTATATGTCCTCCAATTCTGATAAATCGATTCATTTAAAATCAATTTCCTCTCTCTTCTGTAAGATATTATGACACGTACATGTTCAATATGTTTTCCAGTTGTAAAATACCCTATAACCGAGTCAAACACACGTTAACAAAACAGTACAACGATACTGTTAAAAATGAAATTGTTTGAAATTTATATGACAGTGTAAAAGATTACAAAAAAAAAAAAAACAAAATGTCATTAAAACAGTTATTGTTTAAATGAAAAGGAGAAATATGAAAATATTGATTTATCACGATGAACAAGGAGAACAGACTATACTTAACACAATTAAAAAAGAATAAAGAGAAATAATGAAAATCATTTATAGAACATTAGTCTCCACTACGAGCAACGTGTTTACGAGCTACGTGCACGAGTTGTTGGAAGTTTGAAAAACAAAATATTTATGCGTAAATCTTTTCAATCCTCCAAGGAAAAACGAAATCATCAAATTACGATGCGGTTTGCACACCGTAAACATGATTTACCAGATTCTCCGCAATCGTGGCTACAAAGGCTTTAATGAAATGCGAACAAACAACCAACTTCCTTATTCTAATTATAAAGTTTCTAATGTTTTTCCTGCACTTACATTGCACGTATTAGCAAACCTCTGATAAGACGATTCTAGAGAGATATACATACATGCATGGACTTGACGATAGTACTCCCAGCACGAAGCGAAACACATTATTGCGTTGATTGAAGTAAACAAACCAATAAAGCTTCCTAATGTACAATTCCTAATAGATCATCGGGTTCTTGGCAACCGGAAAGATTAATTAATTAATTTGTTTACGGCTCGAACGAAAATTTCATTCTTAACTATTTTAACTATCATTCTATTTTTATTAAAAGATGTCTCGAATAATTGAAGCGCGCACGAGAAAATTTTCGTTTAATTTACAATTAGCCAGAATATATGTATTCTGTACCTTGTTATTCAAAATTTAACATTAAATATTAAAGTGTGTACTTTATACAGTAGCTTGTATATATTTACAAACGAATGTAAGTTATCCAACTTCGAATCTTCGACTGTGAGTTAGCACACGGTATTGTTTTACGTTAGTATATTCTTAACTCGACCTCCAATGTTTCAAACACGACTAAAATTCTTAACGGCGAATTTTACGTGACTGTATTCTACACGATTCGATTTGCGACTATAAACGTTCGAAAACTGGCGGTGAAAATAAACTTTCAAGACCAACTGTAACTATATACCGACTTGTTTTTAATGCAATTTATTCCTGCCTGTTCGAGATGATTTGTACTATGTAAAGCAGTCACGATTACGATGTTAAGTAGCCAAGGGTCAAACACATTTTGTCTCTTTGACATTTTTACTTTTGATTGAATCTCGAGAAATGTTGAAACGTCGATAACGAATCGAGGACGCAAAGAGGAAAGGCTTTCTTTTAATTTACAGTGTAAATTTACAATCGTTTGCCTTGTACATTTTCGTAGAATTTAACTTTTGTTAAGTACATTCTCTACCAAACATGTTAAACATGACTTGGAATAAAAGAAATGAGTATTAAAGTGCACGATGAATTGCAACTATAGCGACCATATACATAACTGATATGAATATTTGAAAGCATTATCAAGCTGCACGTTGTATTATCAAATAATGTTTGCTCAATGCAATTACGTAATCCTCCCACTAATGCGAGTAACGACTGAGAAATAATAAAAAGGTTATAGAAATTTAAATTTCTATAAAACGCGATATTTTGTGATTTTCAATGGCGTTTCATCTTCATGTACAGATACAATTAAGAGAGGAACGTAGAATTTTAGAAGAGAGAAAAAAAAAAAGAGAAGGAAGAACAATTATATTACCATTCATGTATCAAGAGCGAACATTATTGCGCGGCGTATATTGATCGCCGGTCCTAAACCAGATCGAATGAGTTTGTCACTAGACAGACAGGAATAATGTACGCGACGCGCGTTAACACGTGCACTGTAACAATGTGGTAGCGACAACTGCCGTATTAACCTCACTAAATTGTACGGGGAGCCGCATTTAAATTTTCGAGCTTGATCAATATATCGACATTGACCTCCATCAAGGAATTACCATTTTCATTCGAAACATCATGTAATTATGGTTCTCCACAAATTACCGTGCCCGCGGTGTGGGCTAATTGATCCTGTAATCTGAATATTTTAATTCAGACCGAGCTCTTTCAGTTCGAACTTCACCGCTGGGGACGAATTAAAATAACATATGAACTGAATTCAATTGAAATTAAAACAGTTGACCCCGGGACTCGGATTACTAATAAAATATTGTTATCGATCTCTTGTCACATTGAAATTGCTAAAGAAAAGTGAAAATTAATTGTTCAACGTGCTCTGAAATTACGCTGATTATTTATTCGAGGAAAAAGCAGTGTTGTTTGTAGACTGATAACAATAACCTGCCAGTTCTTAGCGGAGTTTTCTCAACTCCGAAACAAACGTTAAATGAAATGTGGAAAAGAGAAATATCGAGCGGCAAAAGGATATGTTTAAAGCGAATAAGCACGGTTTGAGTGGCAATACAATTATCGGTATCGGTGCCGGAAGTCCACGTCAAAAGACTAAATACGTCACGCACTCTATAAATCGCATACGTGTGTAACAACACGGCGGCTTCTATTTTGGTACCTGAAAGACTTTTACCTATTACGTTAATGGAACGGAGCTGATATTTCTGTTAAAATAAAAAATACTTTTCCATTCGTGACTTTTAATAATATCAGCCTACCCATATAGATCAGGTTAGCCCCTCTCCCTGCCCACTCCTACATTTTAACTTTACTCTTATATTCAACGTGGCGGCAGATATATACGCATACTAAGTACACATACTAGGTAAAAAAGGCACGTAATACACACGGAAACCTAACCAAACAGGTTTCCCCTGCTATTAATGTCTATGGATGTCCGAATCTACTAAATATAAGTGCTGTTTGTCGTGACTATTTCCTACTTGAGATACGGTAGAATTTCGAAGAACAGGGGACAATTCTGATAACCGAATGATTGCAATAACAATGATTCACTTATTCTCTTGCTACCTTATCTGTCCTTATTAGTTTCGATTCATTTACTGCTAAACTGTCCTTTAATTGCGTTCGACTATTGTTTATCCACACATACAGAATTTGTTCCAACTATACACGTCCAATATGGCCGGACTATAGCATACTCTATCCCTATTTCAGCGGTGCAAGGAAAATTAAGTTGATTTTACTAAAATAACTGTTCTATTTAATAAGCCTTGCTTTTTAATTGCATTTAATAATTCTTGCTCTTCCTTCAAGATGATGTTATTTCCGCGAGAGTTAACTTGTTTGCGCATTACTTAATTTGATTATATACCAAGATATATATGAAATTAAGAGAGCAGAAAACTCTTCAGACAAGAAGATAACGACTCTGATTATTTTCCCTCTCTTTTTTTTTTTTTTTCCTCTACTCGACATTATCGCGTTGCGTGTTCTGCGCGCCACCACGGAGTAAGATGAGAACGCCACGAATTGGTAGAAGGCCAACCACATTTGAAGTTTCATAACACGTATGTATGCGCTCGCGTGTACATGACATGTCATTAAAACAGCGTGTTGCTATTTCGAATAAGCGTGCGCGGCCACGTAAAAATGCGAAGGAAAGGAGAAAGAAAGAATATGCTCGAGTCGGATTTATTTTTAGTAGCGAGAAAGTATTCGACAAAAATCCTTTTCACCGCTTAAACACGTCTAACGATTACGATTATTTATGGAAGATTGTTGAACCGGAATGATATTTGTATAAAAGAATTAAATATCAATACGATTAAAGTAATGACAATTCATTAATTTCTTTATACACCCAGAAATTTGGCTATTTGCATAAATTTTATTAAGTATGATTATTTTAGATGTTGCACCGAAATAAAATGCTTCGAGTATTAATAAGTTGGTTGGTTATATATCTGAAAGTATACATATATCTTGACTATAATGAAATGAAGGATAAATCGTTTTGAGGTTTGAGGTTAGATTTAGTCTCGGACGATTTTATGCAAATTTTGTATTAGAAATAGTTTAGATTGTAATTTGAAAAACCTATCAATGCAGATTTAATTATATGTCTTAATTATATATCTTAATATTTGTCTACAAATTTGACCTCGAAATCGTAGATAAATCTTGTATTTGACCTCTTGATATTATGATGTATGATATCGTATTCTTAAAAGGATTGATTAATAAAGTAAAAGTAGAATAATTTTGTATAAATAATACAATTTTTAAAATATTTTGATACGAAATTTATAGATATATTTTGTATATTATCTATGCTGAAATACATAATTTCCAAATAGGGAATTAACTGGTAATATATATGGTATTAATTGGTGAAATATTTCCTTTACCAATTATTCTAGTATATATTTACATATTTATAGCACGAATTTATTTATGAACGCGACTATATTAACAGCAGGATAATATTTTTACGAAACCTGGTGCAAAAAAAAAATTTCCTTCAGACGGATGTGGTAAGAAGCGTAGTGTAAAATGTGGCTACGATACAACATGAAATTTCCATATAATTAAAGGTCTGATCGAAACTCACCTTCAAGCGTGCCAATTTGCCTTCTCTCACGATAGTATACATGACTTTTTTAATATCCATTTTCACACATATAATAACAATTCCGTTGAATACGACACACTATTCGATCCTCGTGTCTCAGTTCTTTCCGCTCGGTGGCTGGCGTATCTCTTTGTTCGAAGAGTATGGCAAATACGTTGAACCGTTCGTCACTTGCTCCGATCTCCTTTAACGAATATGCAAAGCAACGGTTTATCTCATGTTGCGTATCACGGACGAATGAAATAGCCTCCGAAAGGTGAACAGTTACCGCTTATGTTTCTCACTTCTCGAGAACAGTTTTACAGTTAGGCACGCGCGCGCGCATACAACACAAGCATTGGATCAATTCCTCTCTTCAAGCGTCTTGTCACGGTCGTTTTACGAACGCTCGTCTGGTTTGCTCACCAGATGGTGATACCTGTACTTTCACTTCGACAGTTCGTCAACAACTGAGCCCAAGTTGCCAACTACGTTGAATCAATCGTGTTAGTGCCAGCTGTTGGCTATTTCCATCTTTCTTCAATCTCTCGCTTCTTGTTAAATATAACTTCACCTCAGTTGCATCTAAAATTGTCTGTCTCATATTAGAATATGCGATATACAACACTTCATTTAACAATGGCTCGGCGACATTTTTTACTGTCATACATATTTTTACAGAGATTCATGATTTTTCTGTCTTCGTCTCTGTCCTTTATATACACTTGCCTATGCCAATATAAGTTTCGATCATCCGTCAACAGAGGACAGCACGATATAAGCTTCGAAGCAATGTTGATAAACAAGATCTACTTTTTCTACAATTAAATTCATGATAAAAAGGTAGAGAGAAAATGTAATTTGTAAAATATTCTTTATAAATTTCCTTTAACTACAACTTTCGAAATACTGAGAAAAAAAAATATTTTGTTGTTACGTGGTTACACTTTACATTTTCTTAATGGTATAATTCTTTTTATTTAAACAATCTCAAAATATTCGTAAATATTAGGGAATATCTTTATTTGCTGTCTAATTAATATCTTTTTAGTAGAAGTTATGTTATAAAACTTATTGATCGTTGATCAATAAATTATAGAGCGTTTATATAAAATGTTTAATATATAAAGTTTAAATGATATTCAAACATTCTTAGTTGTAAAATTCTTATTTTCTATCGCTTTCTCCGTCCAAACATTTATTGTTACACTTCTAACATACATAATATTTAGTAAAATTGGTAAATTGCATCATTTATGTTTCATCGGCATATACATTTTTAACGATTCAATATGGCTTCTTCCGCAATTTGGTAACTGAAATTGTTACTTTGTATGCATTAAAGCACGATTTGCAACCTCTAGAGGCAAAAAAAGAAAAAGAATAAAACGAGAGAGTCGAGGGAGTCGTTAAGTCGGCACTTCACCCTCGATTTTAACGCTTCGAAGTGACGCACTCCTTCTGCATCAAGTGCGTTTTAGTTCGTCCTACATTTTCGCCGATATCACGAGCATTACTTTATTCCAGTCTCAACAGTTTCGACAGGCTTACGTCACTAGTCTTTGAGTGCATCGCCTCAACTTTTGTACAAGAAGAAACGAAACGCTGATACTCCCGAACAATTGCTTAATATCGATTAATCCTAAGTTATAAATCGCTGCCAAACTCTTGTTTACATCAGTCCTATGTAAGGTTAGTATTGAAGTTAATAGGTTAGTTGATATATTTTCGAGATCAACTTTACACGTAAAAGAATTGTCGTAAAAAACGTGTTTCGTATAAATGGGCAAAATTTATGCAATTTACGTATGTGTGTAAAAAATTGTTCAAATTGTTCGGCAGGCAAATGAATAATAAGTGTTATATGAAGGAATTATGTAAACGTTTGAAAACCAAAAAAACCCATGTATACGATTTCGTATCTTATTTATGAAGCACGTTCCAAGGTTACATCTTTGGCTGTTAAACACAGTTAGAATAAAGTTTACCTTTCTGTAACCTTAAATCGTACGAAAGTTGCCACATACATGTAGGGTGAGTTTACAATCTTTTCAATAAAACTTACACACATATGTCATAAAGTGAAGAGAAGAGTTATAAAGTTGGCAATTATAATATATTAATATAAAAATACATTGTTTCATATACTGTTAGAAATTCATTTAATATCAGAGACAGCACTCTATAAAGATTAATGTTAGAGGATCGTACAATTACCATCATATTTCAAGAGATCGCAAAAACCGAGCCATGCTACCAAACGTTTCTCAATTATCGAAATGGAGAGAAACTAAACGAGAAGGCGGCAGTATTTTGTCTTGTTGCTTTCTTTTCTTTCAATGCTCGTGCATTGCCCGTTCATACAACGAAAGGATAGGTCGGTGTAAAAATGAGTACAGAAAAGGGCGCGTGGGTGGTAGATGGGTCAGAGACAGAATGAGATGGCTGATAGATGGAAAAAGTCATGAGTGTGTATGCGCGCGCGCGCGCGCTTACCACACCGTATATATGAAAGAGGCACAGCTGGAAAAAAAGGTGTACACAATAAAAGCGGTGCTGTCACACCGAGCTCTACCAGAGGAATGAAAAACAGAGTCACCGAACCCTCGTAAGACTGGCGTTTTCGGTGACAAGACCAGTTGGAAGAATAAGGAATGAGTCTTGTAACCGTAGCCTTGCTACTAACGCAAAGGACTGCATATTTGAAAATTGTAAAAATCATATTTATTACGCGTCACACGTGAGATTATTAAGCTCCGTGCTATCACTTGGGAAAAGTTTAAATTTAAAAATTTCAGAATTAAATATCTGGGAATTAGGAAATTAAAAAATTCATAAATTCAATGGAAATACGTACATTTCGCTTATTTCCGTATTTAATGATTCATATTTCACGATTCGCGAGGTGTAACGAATATATATGTGTATTTTGCTTATATTTTTGTATTTAATGATGCACATTTAACGATGCACACTATAATGATGTATGTCGTTTGTCCTTAAAGTTCATTATCTTGTAGCTCAACAGAAAACTACTCTATGATTTCCTTTGAAAACTTCGTCGCATTCTTCGTAACGTTTTGCCAAGGTAGAAATGCAAAATTGCAGGAAACATGATGCAGAATAAAGAACTGCGAAGTTATTTGAAAAGCATAACTTTGTTACTCTGATAGAAAGAAAGCTCCTTAAATTATGTATTCGAATTATATATGTACATTCCGCCTGCAATAAGTTATCTTGTCAGTCGTAACGTACGCGTATAATTGGTGCTTGCGAGGAATTTAAAAAGCATAAGCCACAATAAATCCATCGTAAAAGAAAATATTCAAGTACATGTTTTGAACGCGTGCTACAAAGGCTTTAAGCTAGTCTGTTTATCGCGATTTAGATCGAATCGAGAAAGGAAGGTATTACGTTAAAAGCATGGTTAAATAAGTGATTGGAAAAAGTAACGTATCGATGATACATATAAATAAGACACGGCAAAGGATGAATCCCTTTGCCATTTAATTACCATATGAATGTCGAGCGAACGTTTGAGCTGGTATTGCGAAAATACGATATCACGAACGTTTCAAATACTCAAGATAAGCCCGTCCTATCCCATTAACCAGTTCCTTTCTTTTGTTTTTCTTTTTGTATTTGACAAGAGACGTAGTCCAGGAGCGAATTGTTCCCTGTAGGAAGAATGATTATCCGGATGGTTTGCGTGTTTTACAGGTTTTCAGGGGTTCGTGCTCACCGGAGTGGTGCAAGTTAGATATATAGACCCTTTTACGACGCCGGTAGTAGATGATTCCAGCGTATACTTTAAGAATGGTAGTACTCTTTAGGGAAGCAACTTAAGGTGACTCGTGCCGACGATCCTTCCAGCAAATACAGGAGTGTTATATTTAAAACATTCTGGAGACACGCTCTATTGTTTTACTCTCGCATCAACGTGTAACATCGTTTTACGTTGCTGCTCTTTTTGATACATCGTTGCATGCGCCCATGTTGTACATCGCGACACAAAAGACATATCGATTTTCATGACATCGACTTCCAACTGTAATACACGTATTTGCTCCAATTACCAGTGAGGTCTCCAACATCCGTTGTTGCTTCGTTATTAGTCACGCGATAAGAAACCAGTAATTCCGTCTGCGTAAGCAAAGATGTTTACGTATATACTCTGTTGTTTTCTCTGACACATGATTTACGAGGAAATTATGTAGATGTCCGGTGAACGACAATTTGAGCGTGGAGAGAAGAAAGAGAGGAAGAGAGAGAGAGAGAGAGAGAGAGAGAGAGAGTGAGAAGAAAGAAACGCGAGCTTTCGCGTTAGCTGGTTTGAATAAACGATTAATCATTGGTCGTAATTATAACGAGAATGGTGGAGGACGCGAAGAAGGAAATCGCTCGGTCTCCTTCATTTCATTCACTGCATACGGTAGTGAAACGAAATCGTAGAGGGATTCGGCTTATTATTTTAAGAAACGCATTGCTTCCTTTCTGACGACACGACACCACAGGAAGTTCCGCGAATATATCAACTAAAGGTTTCCAATTGCATTTATGGCCTTTCTCTGTCTCGTTTCGTTCCTTCCTCTCACTTTCTTTATCTCCCTTCCTCTTCCATGCGCCTCTTGTGTATATCGACAAATAGCATTTCGTTTCTGTGCACAAGTCGTTTCTTTGCAACCTCATTGCACGTTGCGTCCGTGTGGGTGACCACCGACGCTACGTAAATATGGTTATACGACGTTGTACGTTGATAATGAACGCGCTCGTGTTCGTGCAAAAGTGTAGTGGGCTGCGGCTTGTGGTAAGGGCTCGGAAGAGGGATCGAGAACCGAAGCACAATGCACCAAAGGTAGGAATGAGAGAGGGTGAAAGAGAGACAGAAAGAGAGAGAAAGACGGAGGGAAAGACACTGTACATGTACATTTACGTTCACTATATGCCTAGCACGCGTAACACACTTATGGATACTTGTGCGACGACATTGACACTCGAATAGCAATAAGTAAATGAGCATATATCGTGTTGTTTTCGTATGTGATTTATTCGAGGGACGAGAAATAGACAGACTTGCATGTTGGAATATACAAGTTTGTCACTTTTGAACTAACAGCGATTAAACAAGTGCTGAAATTTTGTTACTATATACTTTCATTATAGTTTTCGAATATATACATTATTCGATACAATCTATTTCATAATATTACTCTTTCTAATATTTTCTTCCATCAATGTGTAGATGTAAAACGACAATTTAAGTGTAAATAGTTTTGTCATAAATTCTGTCATAAAATATTAATCTCCTAGATAGAAAGAAAATGTAGTGACATTCATAATTCTCTTAAAATATTTAGAGAAGCAAAAAGAAAACCGAGATGTAATTGGTGTGGAACAACTTTTTTTTTATCTATTCAATAATTATAGTGACAGAACTAACTATATGCATACGTATAAAACAGTGAGAAAAAATATTCTGAAAGTAAGTTGAGCAAATGTTTCTTATTGCTGTTTCATTCGAAACCCAAAGTATGAAAACTGTCACAATAAAAATTGTTCGCTGATTTTAATTGAATAAGTTCTAACCCCGAAATTATGGCGAGCAAAGTCATATTAAAAGAAATCAAAGTAAGAGAGAAGTTTTAATCCGTCTTTTCAAAGCGTTTTGTCGGAGTTCCCTTCAAAAAAATATCTGTCTACCGTAGCAATGTGAACTGAATGAAATCCTGTGGAATGAAATCCTTCGGTACAGCGGAGGGGTGCGCCTTGTGCTTCACAAACTAGTTTTATGATATCCCACCGACACCTACCATGCTAATCCGCCCACAAAGTTTTCTTCGGCTGTTTACTCGCCTCCTGACTGCACCTCCACTGTCACACCCGCGTTCACCGCTTTATAACTGCTATGGTGGATATAACATAATTTTCCTCCTCCTCGAAGTACGCGAATCGATACAATAAATGCAGCAGATTCCGAAGGGTGAAGTAACAGCAATTTCAGTCGGCGTTTAATCACGTGATATTTCATTTATCCGCTATATATTACCAAGGCTAAATGTTTTACGGTTATTGCATTCTTGAAATTGATGTGTCAATAAACAGAATAACGCTTGCATAAAGGTGTGTTAAATGCATTTTCATATTGTCATTGATGTGTTAATATCACGATTCCTCTCTCTCTCTCTCTCTCTCTCTCTCTCTCTCTCTCTCTCTCTGTCGAATAAAAATATGTCACGACGTTTTGAGTCTCCTCCCCTTCGCTCACGAAGATCGTTGTCAACTGCAACGAACGAATACGAGTCTTACGATTATACGCGTTTCATCTATAAACTGTTTCGTATTCTGCGCGATGAGAGAGAGGAATATGGGTATTGGAATTTCAGAAAGCCGAGTCGCAGGTAGACAGCCTGATTTAGAACATCCCCAGTTGGCGGGCGTTTAACCGAATCGAGGATTCATCTCCTCGCGCCCTCAAAGCGCAGCAGATACGATGTATGAGCAGTGTGTAATATGATGAGCACACACACGTTCTCAGTCACGCTTGGAATATCACCCACACCATCGCGCCGCTTGCACCCACCTAAAGGTCTCTCCTTACATTGCCGGTTGACTCGTGTTGTCCGGCTCTAACACTTTGACTCACTCTATCTTTGTCCTATGCGCGCTGCCGACACTCCGTACACGCGACACACAAGCAACGTTCGGCACTTGGTTCCGGTACTCCTCCTTCTACGCCTCGTTGCAGTTAAGTGCAAGCAGGACAAGCGCAGAGAGAGCGGTCTCTGTTGTTCTACCAGAAACTGAGGGAACGCAGACGCGACGATCGCGGTGTGCACGGTTAAAAGTGAGACGAGGCGAGAACGAGAGGGTGAAGAAGACGAATAGAGACGGAGCGTGAGAGACATATGTAGAACAAAAGATAGGTGCGAGCGAAACAACGATAGCGATGATGCGGTGCACCTGTAAGACAGAGGCCGAAAGTTTGGTGATGGAACGAATAAGTGAGACGAAGAGACGGGAAGAGGTGGAAGATCAAGAAACACCGAGGCGCGACAAAGATCGCACGATATGTCGCATTATACTGTGTGTGTGTGTACGAGGAAGATAGCAACTGGGAGGATACCGACGACGAGCGCGAGCGAGATATCCGAAAGCAGGGGTGTCGATAAAGATTTTTTTAAAGCGAGAAATTATGTTTCGAGGTACATATCATGACAAGGGGCACGAATGTAACAGAAAAACCGAATTAAATTTTGAAACATCTACAACGATATCTGTGTTGTATATTTATCGTATACATTACGAATGATACACGCAGCGTGTTATAACACATTGTGGTTGTATATTTACAAATTAACAGAGAAATTACACGAAATTAAGTTGGTTTGTTTTCCGTGCGAAATACGAGGCAGAATATTGTTTTCGTTCGCTTATACGTGGGTGGGAAAAGAACTCGTGACAGAACGTTCGTTAAAAAGTTGCCGGAGAGTGCAAGGCTTCGGAGGCGGTGGTGTTAGTAAGTTTAAATAGTTATTAAAATTCCCGATAGAGGAAGCCGTATCGGGTGCGATCTTTCGTGGACCGTTCTCAACGGCAGACGACGAATTCCGATCGATCTCCGTTGCCGTATCGTTCAACGAGATGAAAACTTGTAATTTCGTAGTCATTATGAAATTAGCCATTATTGGTTTCTTCGATATAAGGAAACAACGAATCGCCCCTGTCGGTCGACGCCCTTGACTCGACGAACTGAGAACCGAGTCGAAGAAGGACGGACTGTGAAAAGAAAAGAGACGCGCGTTTCGCTCCTTTGTGTATATTCGTGTCCCCTTATCCGTGTGTCAGTGGCGTTGCCGCGGCGGATAGTGTTAGTAGCCGCTCATTGGTGTTCGCCGCGGCGGCAAGCGGCGTTCACACGTTTCCCGTCATCCACTTCGGTACCCGGCTCGCAGTCGAGCGTCGTTCGTTGTACGGTGCGGTTGTTGCGTTCGCGTTTCGTCCCGACGCTTTGTACGTTCGATGTACGTACGTATATATGTGTGACACTGTGCACGCGTTTTCTTTTTTTCTTTAGACTACACACATATACATGAAGTGTTTGTGATAGTGCGAATAGAGAGAGGATCATCGGTGTGTGTATAGGTTATATTTTTTTCGCATAGTGCCAAGGTGGATTAAAGACGTATCTCCTGAGAAAACGAAACGCAAGAGACAACGAACGAGCTACGACCAAAGGTATTATTTACTGACAGCTTTTTCTATTGACCGTTCCCGGTTCGTCTGTTGCTAATAGGTGAAATTATTGTTTGCCGCGTCGTTTAACGTGTTCGCGATAGACTTTTGTGTAAACACAAACGCTTCGCTGTCGATTCTGTTCTCCGTGGAATACCGATTGCTCGAAATCCCGATAAGTAGCCGGGTTTATTATTTGTTTAACGACGCGTGGGGTACGTTCTCCGTAGGAAAAGACAACCTGTAAGGACGATATCTACGTATCTCTTGTATAGAATCGAAAATTCTTTCGAAAACCGTGCCATTAATTATCGTGGAGTTTGGATCGTTCGTACACATTGTCACATGGTGGTAATACCTGACGGTATAGGCAAACTTACCAACAACACGGTATCGTGTAACATTAACCTTGATAATTGCTTTGCTCAGTTCGTTGCCAACTCAAATGGCCGGTAATTATAGAAATGTTAGCAGATTCAATAACTTTTCACGATACACAGAAAATTGTGTTCACGTAAATTTTGGGTACGTGTCGTCTGGTTAAATCTGATTTTAACGAGTTTGATGTTTCAAACGTTTAAGACGAGCTTTCAATTGCCAGAATGTCAAAGCACGCATTTAATTTTTGTCGCAATTGTATTTGTTAATGTTCGAGAAATTTTTTAGATTCTTGCAATCTTCTACGAAAGTATTGTTAATACGCGTTGTTGTTAATTCTACTACGTTTAAATTTTGTTCCAAAGTATTTCTGAAAACATTTAAAGATCACCTCGTTGAAGTCTGAGACGAGAAATGGTAACATAAAAATTTGAAGAATTATGGGGTTAACCGTCGGCTATTAAGCTTGTTTGAAAGAAGTCAGTTTTGCTCTTTCTCGGTTTAATAAGCCACTGGTAGCACCTTCGATGCGACACAGCTGCGAAGTAAATTACTGGAAAGAAACACGACAGTAGCGGGAATGGGAGTTAGCTACAAGCTGGGGGTAATCACGAATCAACCGTACATGGCTCATTAAATCATCCAGACAATCGACACGTTTTACTCGCTACTTTCTTCGTCGGTCGGCTTCTTAGAACTGTTACTATGCGTTCTTTTTTTCCCATTTATTTCAACATTTCCGTGTAATTCCTTTGACGGCCGATACACGATTAACGAAGTAGGAGAAAACGATGCCATTTATCTGCCAATTGTATGATAATGACGTATGTGTGTTTGAATGTTTAAATATTAAACAATAGCGATATTGGTCAACTGTTCGACCTTCGCATAAATCAACCGTAATATTAGTATCAATAGCTTTCTAATTATCTGATGCTAGGGTGAAATAGTTCATAAACCGGTTTTGCTTATTATCATCATCGTTATCGTTCATCGCAATTTTTTAAATGTTATTTAACCAAATAAAAGTCAACCATTTATCGATGACACGTGCCTGCGCACGCACGCACGCGCATCGCGTAACCAAGTCGTTTCCCGTCGCTACACTATTGGTCCCCGTCCATAAACCGTAATTTCGTTAATGCGCGGGTTACTGTGGGAAAAATCCTTTAAGTTGCAGAGGGCAGCACGCGCGTAGGGACTTGACCATGTCGCGATAACGATCACGGAGGGGGAAAAGAAATCACGGAGATCGCGTGATTAAGGATCTTAACGGCGATTAAACGAGATTCGTGATAACTTCCTTCGTGACTTGTCCGTGCAGTGTTGCGCGTCCGGTATACGTTCGTCCGACCGACGACATTTAGGTGCCTTTGAACAGCTGCCGTGTTATGCCTGTTTATTTTCCTTTTCACGAATTTCATCTGAGCATACAGTCCAACCATTTTGTCTCGCGTCGCGTATATCTTCGAGTTATTTGACAAATGGTAGAAACGTTGGAGATATATATTCGAAATATTAGTGGTTCGCGAAAGCATTTGAATACTTACCACAAAAGGTTCGTATGTATATGTACACGTAGTAAGTATACTTGTATTAATTGTATATAATATCTTGTGGACTCTATGGCAAAAGGGCGTTCTCCATTTTCAAACTTGTTTGAAGCTTTATTTGTAATCATTATAATCAAGTTTCACTATAGTGCTTTTCAAAATGTTATAATACGTGTAATATATTCATAAAAGGTTATTACAAGTGTTGAAATAGTTTTGTGAGCCATTGTATGCGAACATTACATATACTGCGTGTTGTAATTTAGGTTATACACAGTATGAAACTTTAGAATCTCTGTACAATTTGTTTCATGCAATTTGAGGACTTTAAAAAGGTTAGTTTAGAATTTTGTTAATTCTTCAGTTCCTCTAGGGATTCATCGAAATAAAGAGAAATTGATTGAAAATAATCGATCAAAGGAAGTTTACCGGAATGAAGCATAATTGTAAACGGGAAAATAATTATAAATTTTTAACCGCTGGCGTATTTTCGATTTATATGTTATTACGTCAAGCGATAGGAAAAAAAAAGAGCGATAAAGGCGTCGCGAGTTAAACTGCTGAAAGTTTTCATCGTTTCGTCATATCCATATATTGCAAATTGATGGAAATGACTGTTCAAATTTGGCTGCGAGTTTTTCACGTACGCCTGCACCATTATACATCGCTTGTGAAATATATTATCCACGGAGAATGGTCTGCTAACAGAGTTACATGACTCCATTTTCATGTTACACGAAACATCATCCGGCGTTACAAAGAGCCCATAATGACACGTGCACGTGTATGAAATCGCTCCGTATGTCAATGTGCGAATGATAACAACGAAACCCTTCGTTCCGATGAAAAATTTTATACTCCACTACGTTTTATTCCTGAATGTTTTCATTTCGGTATTTTAAATTATTCAGTCACTTTCAATTCCGAATTTGCATGCATAGCTGTCATAAACAGTGCTGTATTTTATTATTTGTATAGTAATACATATGTACGTAATTCGCACGTGTATGAATTTTGTTTCATATGTCTGATTTATTATGTGAAAATTACTTGAGGAAGATCCCTAACGCAAGCCGTTAATACTTGTATGTACCTATATATATTCCTATACGAGTGCTCACTTATTTTGAAATTTTTGTTGACCCGTAATATTATGTTTCGTAAAATTTATGAAATTTTGAATTTCGTCAATTTATATATATCTTATATCCTACATATCATGAACTGAGGTGTTCTCAAGGGGCTCAATTTGACACGAACAGAAATATAACTGAATTTTAGATATTTAAATTATCTGGAATTTTTTAATTTATTTCAAATATTCGAAGAAATCGAGTTTCTTGGAAAACTCGAGCCACGAGGTTACACGAATCACTTAAATAATCGCGTGACCGATTTGATTCGACAAATCAAATTACCCGTCTCGAATTCCGAATGCACGGACGATTATAGCATGTGAGAGTCATGGAGGAGTAAATTACACGTGCAAACTACTGCAAGATACGCGTTGAATTCCACATGTCTGCGACCTTTTCAAATCACACGTGACATTAACAAACCAAAGGAACATCTATGTTATCGTCGAAGGTACAAATAAACTGCGCGATCTTTTTTTTTTTTTTTTTCTTTTGTTTAATTAATTCAACTGACCGATCGTTCATATTTTAATTTTCCCAAATTACCATTCCCTACGGTTAATTTAAATTCACGCATAACGAGTCATTTGTTCATCGTCCGCCATTATCCGTATTTCGACGCATCTCGTCTCGCCACGATGTTGAAATTTTTAATTGTTAATTAAATACAGTTAAATACACGGGCGTTAAGCGCGAGGAAGTCTCGTAACGCGTGGAAGTAGACTGTTTACCGAAAACAGTATTTTCAAAAAAATACAGCACGCAGTTTTCCGTACGTGACATTCCGCTGGTGTAACATCTTTGCGTTTCGTCTAAACAAGGGGGCGCTCGGCTCACCTTCTTCCCCCTTCCCCGTAACGCCAGTTGCCACCCTTTTTTCCTACTTTTCTCTCCGTACTTTGTCATTCTGCGTTAGAAACACGCCTCGGAGATTAGGATAAATGTTCTCGGAACAGTGACGGAGCATGGTTTTACACGCCTCGTAAATCGAACGATAAATTGATCGCCCAGATTCATAAAGCCGCACACACAGCCGACGTATACATATATTATTTCGAAATCCATATGTAATGCGTAGCTGGAAATTTTTCCGTCCCATGAAAACTATAAATGACACGGATGGCTTTTATTTTTTTTTTTTTTATTTTTTTTCCCCCTCCCCCCTCCCTCCGTAAATTAAGCTTACAGTTGCTTTGATGCATTTTTCAATCGTTTTCATGTTACACGTGTACGAACGAGGAACGTGAAATGTCGTTGTTAAAACTGATTGAGAGTTTTAAGTTATTCGTTATTTATTTTTATGCTCGCGATATTGATTTTATCTTTCTACGAACAATCGATGTAAATTTAGTTAACGTCGTATAGAATCTTTCGCTGATTACCGAAAACTTTTTTCCGTTTTCTATGGACGTAAACGCGCATAACTTGTTGTTTTACGGTTTTTTTTTTTTTTTTCTGTTGCCACAAATTGCTCACGGGATTCGGTATATCGCACGCGTTTACACGGCGCGATAGTGTAGTTAATGTATGCGCAGTTTGTTCATTTTGAACAAAGCTTTAACAACTTCCACAGTATTAATCCACCGAATATTTAAATTTCAATTTGTTTTCAAATCAGTTTAATTTTATTAAGAGCTTTAAAAGGCAATTGTTATCGCTATAAAATATCGCTGTGTCAAATCTATAAAATCTCCATCTGACATTTCGTGTATTTTTTATAATTAATATATTTTCTATAATTAATTATAGAGCCGAAAAATTTTGAGACCTATTATTTTAATAAATTTGATGTTAAATTAAATCAACTACAAAACGAGTCGCTCGCATCGATCAACCTCACGAAGCAGAGAATTGTTTTTTAAAATTTATTTTGGAGTTATTCCTATCGTTCCTTTGTACTAAACAAATTTACGGAAATCATTTACATGTTCCTTTGACCATACGGCTCCAGCAAAAAAGTCGGGAAACTCATTAAAAATGGAGTTGTTCGAGGTTACATACTTTTTTAAGCGAGTCGTGTTTATGTCAGCCGTATAATCTTACCAAGTGATTAAAAGCCAATTGAAGTACTTACTCACGACGTCATCGAGCGCTCGAAAAGCAGTTCGTATCGGTCCGAACGGCGTAAACGATCTATGCGAGAGTAATGATTTAGTTCTAAGAAAAGCAACAGAGTCACGCGAAATCATCGCTACTTCTTGCGAAGATGTTTACGAAACACACCTCGTTTTCGTTCAAAGTAACGAATCGTGTCGTGTTATAATTACAGTCGGCGAAGATCTAGATACTGAACACTGAAGGAAGACCGTTGGCGTACCTCCAAGATCCTGAGAATGTCGCTGCAAAGATCGAGCCGGGGAATGGACCATGAAGTGACCGTGTACAAAGGACATTGCGGACGCGTGTGATTCTTACGGAGTATTTAGCCACAATTAAGATGTACCCCGCGCCGGCGAGACACCCAGCCGCTCCCGTAAGTACTATAGCCAAAAGAAAGGTAGATATTAGTAGTAGATTCTATCGAGTAGAATCTCGTTTACACGAACGAAGCGAATGTTTCCATTTCACAGTTACAAACTCGTAAGCGAGCCTATACAGTAGCTTCGATTATACGAACGTGTACTTTTGTGATTAACACAATCGACACGATAAGAATGATTACTGTTAGATTTTTTTTTTTTACTTTCTATCACGAGATCAGAGACAAGCTCACGTTCACTTGGAGCAGTTTTATTGAAAAAAATAGAAATTGGAGATCTCGTTTTCCTGGTGAAAGACTGATGAGTATTCTAATTTTATATCAAATTTTGTAATTCGAATTAATAAGAAAGGCTATGAACTGTGAGTGTGAGTGGGCACATTCGACGATCCGAATTATTTCTCCTCTTGCGTCTGTTCTGATAAACGAGGTTCTACTAAAACTAAAGGCTAACTTCTACTGAAAATAAAAGAGAAATGGAAGCCGAAAGGCAGAAAGTAAATAGAAGGCCACGGTCCCTTGTTTTACTTTCTTTATCGTCGTCTTTTTCAAGTTTCTCGAAACACGGCGAGTGAAACACGGTTGTCGCGGTCGAAATTACGAGAGGTGCGGGCGTTACTCTCGCCTGTAACTCGAGATACCGCGAACTTGGCCAATTTTTATTGTGTGTCCGACGTAGTTCCGCCGTGGAATCGCTAATTTTTGTAATTTTCTTTTCCTCGGGGGAAATTTTTATGATGTATGCTTTATGGCGCCGCGGCGAGTACCTCTCCCCCCTCCGGTTGCAGAAGAAATGTTTGTACGAACGCGTTGTTGACTTGTGTATTAAAAAAAAAAAAGAAAAAAAAAAAGTAGTTCCATCCAGTGGAAGAGGCATTAAGCAGAGAATCCAAGTAAAACGTTTCTAGCGAACTATACAGATACTAGACGAATGTAGAATTTCTAAATTTCTCATAGTTGTGTTCATAAGCTTAAGAATACGTAAGGTAACTTCAAATAATTTCATATAACTTCTACAAAACGAACAAACTATGGTGTTATCGTTTGCACGTGACGAATGACTTTGAATAACATAAATAAAAAAAAAATTCAAACGATAATGCAAAAGAGGGATAACACGTGGCTAAGTGCAAACGTAAGGCTGAGATTTTTACGATTTTCAATTGAAAACGTGTTAATTGTCAGTTTGCCGAAAAAAAAAAAAAAAAAGAAAAAAAAAACAGACGAGAAACCAGAGAGAAGGAGGATTTATTGCATTAGCTTGAAATTTCATTTCTTCTTATAATATTGCTATCGCGATGAACCGGCGCGGCGCTGCGCTGTGGGGAGAAGCGCCTTAACCACTTCTACAGGCGAGGAATAAAAGGCGTCGGTGCTCGTGAGCTTTCAACTTTTCTTTTCAAAGTAGTTACCCCGTCAGTTGCTCTAACACTATCGCGGCACCGCCGGCCGCCCATATTATCTCTGTCTCTCTGTCTCTCTCTCTCTCTCTCTCTTCTTCTTCCTCTTCTTCTTCCCCCCCCCCCCTTCACCAGCCCACTTATGGGGTGGCTCCAATTTTAATTCACCGCTTTGTTCGTTGTTTGAACTATTAAGCGCTCGCCCGCCAAGATTCTTGGCGCGCGGGGGTGGGGAAAGAAAGAAAGAAAGAAAAAAAAATTTACCGAGTCGATGTTATTTTTCCTGCTGCTAGATTTTTATTTATCCGCGACGGTGTATCGTTACGTGTGATCTCGGAGCGTAAAACAGCCAGTGTTACGGGTGTTTTTTAAACGTTCCCTCTAAAATGGTTAGCACCGCCGCCACGCGAGATATCACTCGAATACAGTTGCATATGTAAATATCCTTCTTTCGCGTGGATTTTCACATTTTTCTCGGCTCGCAGTTAAGCCTTCCGGCAGCCGCCTTCGCGCTACCACTCGTGTTTTCTCTCTCTCTCTCTCTCTCTCTCTCTCTCTCTCTCTCTCTCTTCTTTTTCTTTATTCCTTCTTTTTTTCTGTCTCGTTCTTTCTCCTCCTCGCGCCAGCTCGTTGCAAAGAATAAACCAAATGGCGGTTACGAAGTTTACGGAAGAAAGGATCGGCACGGAGTAATATAATTGCAGGGTCATAGTAGAAAAAGCATTTCTCCTTTATATGCGCTTGAAGCCGCGGGCCGCCTTTGCATTTTCATTTTCTTACTGCAAATAATTCCACTATTCAAAGAATGCTTTGGCCCCGGCCGCGCGCACTCTTTTTTACTTTTCCGCCGCCGTTATAATTTCACGCGTCACATAAGCTCAAAGTCCTTTATGCGAAACGAGACCACCGGAGAATTCGCTGACACAGGAGGCCTCTAGAAATTGTAGAGATTATTTATAGAGGGAGAGAGAGAGAGAGAGAGAGAGAGAGAGAGAGAAAGAGAGGGTGAATACAAGTCAACGTACAACAATTGCCGTTCGTAGAAGCAGGCTGGCTGGCTGGCTGGCTGGCTGGCTGGTTGGCTGGCTGTATGGTGCCCGGTGCCGTTGATATGTGGGCACACTTGCTGGTTGTTTGCTTATTGGCGCTAATGTGGCGCCGTTCAAGGGGCACAAAGTGGTTCAATCATTTCCTCGTGAGGATTCTTAAAGAGTAAAATCGCTCTTGCGATAATACGCGGTTTATTCTATTCATAGACGACGAATGCGTACGCGTCGTAGCAGAACATTCGATCCCGATTGGACACTGACCACCGCCACGTGAACGCCGCCTCGTTCCGTTCTGATTATTTGATACGTCGTTATCGGTACTTTCGTTTAGGGAAACTGACATCGCCAGTTTCCGTTTTCTCATAACAAATTTGTGAATTATGGGACGTTCGAGTGAAACGCCACTGAATGGTGGAGTACTCGATATTTAATTCGCACGTCGTTGAAATTTGTATTGTACTCTGTATAGCGATGCAAGACTGTGAAACAGTGAAAAGTTTCTCTTTGCTTTTGAAAATTGATACCTGTCGAGCGTAACCGCGTGGACGGAATAAAATACAGAAGAGAACGCAGAATTAAGAACAGCTTCAGCACGAATGTATGGGACGTGACGCGTCTGGAGTCTCTTCGCTTGTCTCCAGTTTCGGAGCGGAGAAATTGATTTCGAATTTACGATCGGGGATGATAGATGGTCCGGAGTCGTAATAGAAGCGAACGGTCCATCCTAAGCGCTAAGAACTGACCCATTCTCTACACTTGGCAACCAAACAAATGACGAGGATGGCTACGACCATTGTGCTCGTAACTCTGTAACTCGAGCTTTCACGAAGAAGACATAGATAATAAAAGCAGAAGTTCGCTAAATGACGCGAGTGATTCTCAAAGATCGTCGACGATTATTCTTGCTCCGAAAAATTCCGTACGCAGAGTGAGAAAGATTTTGAGAAATTTTGTGAAAAGAATGTTCATAAAATAAAGTGTTTTTTTTTTTTTTTTTTTTTAAATATTAGATACGTTTGAGAAACTTCGAAAGATAGTTGTAGGTGTGTATCTTGATAAAGAAGCACGAGGAGCGCGCTGGTTCTGATCTCGTTACTGTCAAACGGATGGTGATAATAGAAACGATAACTGGCACAGTAACGACTGTTACCCTTGATTGTCTAATGTGTCCTACAGAGGAAGTAAAGAACATAATCAGCTTACTATGCACGAACGTGCTGATTCCAGGCAGACTGTTCGCACGTACACCGTCCATAAGTTGCGGAACATTTAATACACCTTAACACAGACGCAAGTGGACGTTATTATACGCAATTATAAAGTCAACCTGTTGAAAAGGAAGAAAAAAAAAAAAAAAAAAAAAAAAAAAAAACGGAAGAAATCGTATCACGTTTTTGAAGATTTTATTACAAAGCTTAATAAAAATTAATGAGCACTCCGTGACCTTACGGTTTAAGAGTGCGTCCATTTCCTTTTGTTCCCGACGATTTTATCGTTTATCGCGCAAAACTTCGTAAAATATTACAGCCGTTTGATATAAAGTTGTTTGGCCACTTTGTGCCAGCGTCCCGTCTTTTGACAATTATCTAATTGTGTTTTGCAATTATGTAGAACGCACCGCGAACGATACACGATATAATTGCACTGTGTGGCCGGGAGCTGTTGTAACGTCTACGCGGAACGAACGTTTGATCAATTAACGATATGTACATATTTACAACGCATAAACGAAGGAAAAACCAGGGGGCAAAAGGAAATGTCACGGTAACGAAAAGTCTTGCGACCTCTTTGCAAATGCACCGCCGCTGACTTGTACCGTGCATTATAGTAAAGGACAAAGGGACGCGCTTTGTTTCCTCCTCTCTTTCTTCTCTTTTAGTCTTTTCCTACCCACTTCAATGTTTCTCTCTCTCTCTCTCTCTCTCTCTCTCTCTCTCTCTCTCTCTCTCTCTCTTACACACACACACGCACATACACACATTCGCTTGTTCATTCGTATTCCGTCTGCATTCACAATCTTTTGCATCGTTTATGCTGTTTGTACGTGAGACTCCACCGGTTTTTCGATGTCTCCTCTTATTAAAGTATTTAAGTTATAATCTCATTGAATCTACAAAGCACGAAGAAAACGACTTCCGCGCAAGCCCATAAATATTCCCCGAATCTCTATCGAATAGCGCCTTCCATCTTCCTTCAAAGTTTATCAAAAAAATTGAACGTACGCGGCGTTTCTCAAATGATTATTTGTCGCGTGGAAAAATTTGAAACTCTCGCTTCACCGTACATTTCGAATTCTTTCCTCTTATTAAAAATTGGCGTTGCAGCAACAAAGGAAACACATTGCCGTCGTAATTATTTCGTCGCGAAAGCTTTTACAAATAAAATGTTACAATTACCGGTGTCGCGATGAAATTTTCGCGACTTCCAAATTAAGATTCCAAAAAAAAAGATTACACGATTCACGACAGTACATTATTGTCGTCGTACATTATTGTGTCAACGCTAACCGCGTACGTGTCCATCGAAACGAATTTAAAAGTCGAGA